ATATTTGTATTTTTTGCGGGGTCCTAAATAGGGGAAGGGCAGTTATATTTTCTAAATGACACTTTGTTGGCTGTTCCACCTCAGATTAAAAAAGAAATAGTTGTGACTTTATTACTCGTAATTGGGATTTTATATCTTGCAATTTTTACAATTGCAATTTAATATTTGTCAATTGTAACTTTATATGTTACAATTTTGCAACTTTTTATATATTACAATTTCAATATATGTAACAATTGCGACATTATATGTCACAACTGCGACTGACAAAATTGCAACATTTTATATATCACAATTTTAATTATATGTTACAATTTACACTGTCACAATTGTGAATTTTAATATATCAAAATTTCAACTATATGTAACAATTGCGACTTTATACTGTTACAATTACGACTTTTTATATATCACAATTTCAATAACCGGTATATGTTACAATTTCGACAGTCACAATTGCGACATTTTATATATCACAATTTAAACTATGTGTAACAATTGCGACTTTGTCACAATTACGAATTTTAATATATCAAAATTTCAACTATATGTAACGATTGCGACTATATGTCACAAGTGTGACCATCAAAATTGCGACATTTTATATATCACAATTTCAATTATGTTACAATTTACACTGTCACAATTGTGAATTTTAATATATCAAAAATTTTAACTATATGTAACAATTGCGACTTTGTTAATTGCAAATTTCAAAATTGTGACCTTTTATATATCACAATTTCAACTATATGTAACAATTGCGACTTTATACTGTTACAGCTGCGACTTTGTCACAATTACGACTTTTTATATATCACAATTTCAATTATATGTTACAATTTCGACAGTCACAATTGCGACATTTTATATCACAATTTAAACTATGTGTAACAATTGCGACTTTGTCACAATTACGAATTTTAATATATCAAAATTTCAACTATATGTAACGATTGCGACTATATGTCACAAGTGTGACCATCAAAATTGCGACATTTTATATATCACAATTTCAATTATGTTACAATTTACACTGTCACAATTGTGAATTTTAATATATCAAAAATTTTAACTATATGTAACATTTGCGACTTTGTCAAATGCAAATTTCAAAATTGTGACCTTTTATATATCACAATTTCAACTATATGTAACAATTGAGACTTTATACTGTTACAGCTGCGACTTTGTCACAATTACGACTTTTTATATATCACAATTTCAATTATATGTTACAATTTCGACAGTCACAATTGCAACATTTTATATCACAATTTAAACTATGTGTAACAATTGTGACTTTGTCACAATTACGAATTTTAATATATCAAAATTTCAACTATATGTAACGATTGCGACTATATGTCACAAGTGTGACCGTCAAAATTGCGACATTTTATAGATCACAATTTCAATTATGTTACAATTTACACTGTCACAATTGTGAATTTTTATATATCAAAATTTTAACTATATGTAACAATTGCGACTTTGTCAAATGCGAATTTCAAAATTGTGACCTTTTATATATCACAATTTCAACTATATGTAACAATTGCGACTTTATACTGTTACAGCTGCGACTTTGTCACAATTACGACTTTTTATATATCACAATTTCAATTATATGTTACAATTTCGACAGTCACAATTGCGACATTTTATATCACAATTTAAACTATGTGTCACAATTACGAATTTTAATATATCAAAATTTCAACTATGTGTAACGATTGCGACTATATGTCACAAGTGTGACCGTCAAAATTGCGACATTTTATATATCACAATTTAAACTATGTGTAACAATTGCAACTTTGTCACAATTACGAATTTTAATATCAAAATTTCAACTATATGTCAAGTCAAGTCAAGTCACATTTATTTATATAGCGCTTTTCACAATACAGATTGCATCAAAGCAGCTTCACAGTGATAACATGAAAGTAGTACAACACAGTTCAATAATATTGTTGAATATTAAATATCCCCAACTAAGCAAGCCAAAAGCAAGGCGACAGTGGCAAGGAACCAAAACTCCATCAGATTGGATGGAGAAAAAAACCTTGGGAGAACCCAGGCTAGTCAGGGGCCAGTTCTCCTCTGGCTAACAATCATAGCTTTACAGTAAGTCCATATCAGAGAGTACCTGGAAAAAATACATTTAGTTAATCATGTAATATTTAGGGGATAACATATCGCCGGCGTTGAGTCGTCTCTTCGCAGGCGTTGAGTCGTCTCTTCACAGGCGTTGGTCTTCTCATCACAGGCGTTGAGGCATCCGAAATCCCCGTGAGAGGCAGGATACCAAACTGGAGCCTACGAACGCCATTTTTCTCGGGACAAGCGTCCCGAGATAACAGCAGAAAGGCAGATGGGAAATAATTAGCATAGCTGATGTTCATAATGATTTCCATTACACGGGAGTAGGTGTTAGAAAACCATAATCTCACAACTCTCCGTAACCCAAACTCTCCGCAACCATACGGACCGACCCGTTTGTCTATAAGGCTGTCGAGCCCCACTGGTGCGTTAAGCAGTTTCAGTGGCAAACGGTTCCGTATGGCATAGCAGAGGACTAAAAGGTAAGCATTATGTGAATGCTTGACTAAAGAGACACGTCTTTAGTCTAGTTTTAAACTGTGTCAGCGAGTCAGAGCATCGGACCGTATCGGGAAGGCTATTCCAGAGTTTTGGAGCTAAATGCGAGAATGCCCTCCCTCCTTTCGTGGACTTCGATATCCTAGGTATGTAACAAATATGTAACAAATATAATTACAAAATTTCAACTATATTATGTAACAATTCAACTATAACGGTCACAACTGCGACTTTGCAACAATTGCTTTATATCTCACAATTGCAACTTTTTATATTTCACCAGTGCAACTTAATGTCTTACATTTTCAACTTTACACATCACAATTGTGATTCACTATATTTCTCGAATGCATTTGTAGTTCACAATTGCGAGTTTATCTCACAACGTAACATGACATCTAACAAAGGTGACTTTATTTCTTGCAATGCGACTATATTTCTCATAATGACAAACACAGCAGATGTTCTGAGACAATCTGCCGTGGGCCAGAATCACGCCCGACATCTGTCTTGATGATAACACACCTCATGAGCTTGGAAAGAAGAGTTCAACATTAAACACACCCAGGAGACTGTGACCCAGGGGGAGATTCTGCTTTTATGGCTCATTTTTTCTTGCACAGTTATTCCTCCTCATCTTTGAAATGAAGATTTGGAGGATGGATTACCCTTTATCATTGCTTTAATAATCCTGACATTATGAACTCATCATAGCTAAAGCTTCATCATAATACAAAAACAACAGGGGGAGATTCCAGAAGAGCTCCTGTATCATTCCTGAACTCAGTGCAGGTTAATATGTCTCTCAAACACCTGTGTTCTGTGTTGTTGTCACTGACCAGGCCAAAGTCTCTGCACTTTTTGGCAGACTTCAACAGTCAGTCGGTCAGCGTCTGGCTGGGTCTGGAGACGGCTCTCAGGAATTCTTCTGAAGTCGAGCAGTGACCGTGTTCATGCGTCGGCTCTGACCAGTGCACTGGAATGTGATGGGATTTTTTAAGCTGGAAAGGTTGTGAGAATGACCTGTGTGCTGTAGCCATTGTCACATGGGCATTACAAATACCAGATACTTCACATTTCATATCACTAAAGTCAAAGATGGAAACTGCTTTAGCACTTGATAAGCTTGGCATTTATTAGTGGTACCATTAGCATGGCTATTATTATAGCTTATAGTGTGGAATTTGAACAAACCACTAAGTTATAAACTTCAGCTTGACAATAAAATGGACACTGAAGGAAAGTCCCTTGTGCACTTAATTGTGTTGAATGTTCACTTGTAGTATTAAACACTGCACTTGCAAATAATATAATATTAATGAAATGAAAGGCCAACACATTGAGAGGAGACAGGTGCACGAGTTACACTTTATTTAATGGTGACGTTGTTATATGATTAAGTACTAAGCAATAATAATTAACAACATGTACCTGCTATAGGGTAAGGATGAGTTTGGTTTGTGTTTAGTTGCTTGTTATTATGCATAATTTACTGTTATTACTATAGTAAGTTCATGCAGCAAGGACACTGTAAAATAAAGTCTTCCCACTGTTTCTTATAAAAAGTGAATTTTGTAATAATGTCGAAATACCTTTTAAATCACTGTTTTAATATTATTTTGTCATGCTTTTTATGTGTTAACTAACTAATTTTAACCATGGCGTGTTACTCAATATTATTTTGAAGTTAATTTGTACACTAAACTGCAACTTCATCATTACAAGTGTGTTATTGACATACAAGTTTCAATACGATGACATTAAAGTATATTTCAGTTACCATAAATGCTTGTCTGTTCATTCGGCGGTATCATTATGAAATCATATAAGACACACTTAAAGGGATAGTTCACTAAAAATGAAAATTGTGTCATCGTTTGCTCACCCTCAAGTTGTTTCAAACCTGTATGAGTTTCTTTCGTCTGTTGAACACAAAGGAAGATATTTTGAAGAATGTCGGTAACCAAAAAAAATACAATGGATGTCAATGGGGTCCATCAACTGTCTGGTTACCAACATTCTTCAAAATATCTTCTTTTGTGTTCAGCAGAAGAAAGAGACTCATACAGGTTTGAAACAACTTGAGGGTGAGCAAACGATGACACAATTTTAATTTTTTAAGTGAACTATACCTTTAAGTCCTACTTAAGTGGGTCAAAAAAAGCACTCTTAAGTTGAACTATTTGCATTTAATATAAATTTTAACTATAACACATTTTCATTGAATTGCAATATTAACAGCCTGCATAGCAACATGCTAAAAACACCCAGTGTGCTAGCATTGTGTCAGTAACCTTTAAATGAAAAAGCACTACTTTCTTCAGAGTAGAAAAATGTAAAAATCTAGCTTGATGTAAAAAGACTAATGTAAGGACTTTTTTTTTTTTTTTTTGCAGAACTGTGGTGTGGAGACTGATAACTTGAAGACTCTGGCAGGTCAGATGCGAGCAGCGTCCAATAACTTGCACAACACTGCGTCAGAACGGAGGAAAAATCCTTCTTATGATGGAGTAAGTCCAAACAAACCACCTAACGTGTTCCTCACCGCTGTGGTGGAGCTGATAGCGGCTGCCAAGGGCATGCTGGCCTGGCTTGACAGGTATGTGAGATTCACACACACACACACACACACACACACGTTAAAAGAAATTCCACTCGCGTTAGGAAAAGTGAAAATTTTCAGTGAACCCACAACCAAAATGTATGTTTAGAAAGCATTTTACAACATATTCAGAACAACAATTTGCTAGCTTGCCACCGTATTTCCTCATTAGCTATGAATTGTAGTACAGGGGGGGTCATCATTGACAGCGTTTTTAAACACCGTAACTGCAAATTAACTTCATGGTCATTTTTACTGGCAGCTGTCTCACCAACTATTGCTTTGGTTTTGTGCTCCAGTCAAAACACCTTCAATCTTTCCTCGTGACGTCACACAGAGCGCCGGCATTCAGACGCACACACGTACATAGGCTATATACCGCACTGCATGTTTGGGCTTGAAACAACACATACCGGTATTCACCAACATTTGATCACTTCTGTTGTCTTTGTGTGCAGGACCCCCCTCACAGGAATCAGCGATTTCACCTCGACCAAGAACAAGATCATTCAGCTCTGTCTGGAACTGACCACAACTGTCCAGAAGGTTTGTTACTGTGCTAATGGTCACACACCATTTCCCAAGTTTGCATTAAACCAGTCAAAAGTACAATCAAAAACATTATGAATGTTACAAATTATAATAACTGTTGTTTGAAGTAGAAGCGTTTATTTTATCATTATTTTATAGTCTTTATCGAGTGCAGAATTTATTTTATATTTTTCAAATTCTTTTCTTTTTTAGTAAATATTGTGTAAAACATTATTCAATTTAACACACATTTTAGCAGGGTCATTGTCGTTAACTAAAACTACAACCATAAAAAAATGGTTACCATAACATTTTCTTTACTTGAATTTAAGGTTAACTGAAATAAAATAAATTACAAAAAACATGAAACTTATTTTATTTCAGCCTTTTCAACATTTTTCATTTTCGATTTAGCGTTTCTCATTGTTTACGCAGTAAAACAAATAAAACTAAATGAACCAAAACTAATAAATAATTAAAGCTGCAAGCAGCATTTAGCGGTGTTCAAGCAGTTAAGGCCTTTAAGGCCGTTAAGCACAAAAGCATCAAAAGACATAGGGCCCTATTTTAACGATCTGAAACGCCAGTGTCAAAGCGCAAAACGCAAGTAACTTTGTGGGCGGATCCCGGCGCTGTTGTTATTTTCCCAGCGGGATAAATGCCTCTTGCGCCAGGCGCAAATCTAAAAGGGGTTGGTCTGAAGTAGCTTCATTATTCATAGGTGTGGTTTGGGCGTAACGTGAAATAAACCAATCAGAGCGTCATCTCACATTCCCTTTAAGAGCAGGCGCGCTTGTTCTAAAGCGGATTCCTATTATAACGGCGGATTTGCCAGGCGCGCGCCAGGAGCGGTTCACAGCCGAGGAGAGCAACGTTCTCGTCAGGGCCGTAAAACACAGAGAAGTGACATTGGGGATGGAGAAACCCACCCAAATTAACTTCTGTTAAACAGGCGTATGATAATTTGGGTTAATGTGTAAGCTACATGTATGCTTTTATAATAAATTGTCTATCTATCTATCTATCTATCTATCTATCTATCTATCTATCTATCTATCTATCTATCTATCTATCTATCTATCTATCTATCTATCGTAATAATGTATGATTTGCAAAAATGAAAACTGCTGGTTACATGAGAGAATCAACGTGTATGCGCGTTTTGCACACGCTACATTGATTATGGCCAAGCATGCGCCCTTAAAATAGCATAATGAACAACGCGCAACGCGCCACTGACTTTAGACTACTTTTTTTCTGGTCAGTGGCGCAATTGTTTTATAGAACAGCAAAATAGCATGAGGGAAAGTTTGCGCCGGAACACGCCTCCTCTTTGCGCTGAACCGCCCCGGGGAGCGCAAGTTCATTTCCCAGTTAACCGACGTGCGTCTGTGGAGGGAAAAGTCCGCTTTGCGCGGGTGCAAAATAGGAATGATACATGCGTCAGTGTACAAAGTCATTTGCGCCGAGTGCATGATAGGGCCCATTAAGTTTTATATAACAAGTATTTAACCACTGAGATCATAGATGGAATAGACCATGTTTTAGCATGATTTACCATGATACACATTTCAGTTTGATTTTTCTTGATTTACCATGTTCCAGTATGATTTACCATAGTTTACCATGATATACCAAGTTCTAGTATGATTGACCATGATTTACCCTGTTCTAACATGGTTTACCAGAATTGAACACATTGTAGTATGATTTAATATGATTCTAACATGGTTTACCATTGTTTACCATGATTTATCTTAGTTTACCTTGATTTACCATGTTATAGGATGATTTACCATGATATAGCACATTCTAGAATGATTTACCAGGATTCTAGCATGATTTACCTTATTTACTATGATTTACCATGTTTCTGGCGTTATTTACCATGATTTACCACGTTGATAGACATTATGTGAAGCATCAGAACAATTGAAGTGATAAACTCTGACAAAATATGATTGTGTTATAATAGTAATTGTTATATAAGTGATTTATTATTGTCTATATATGAATGCAAAAGCACATGTGAAAAGACTATTAATAAGTAGAGTGGCCAGCAGAGGGCAGTAGAAGACCACTTACTGACTCACTTTCATTTTGAACACACTTGGTTTCACCAGTATTCTGCACTAAAACAAACCAGTTGTTAACTATATTATGCATGCTTACACACACACAAACACACACACGGGATATGTTATTGTGAAAATCTCTTTTAATGGTGTATAAGCATGCCTATGGTCCGATCTCCATGAAACTTTGCATGCTTCTTCACCATGTTATGACACATGTGCTCATCAATTTTTGTGAAGTTCTGAGTTTTTATTTATGATTTATAGGCTTTTGATGTCTTTACACGCCCCCTTTTCTAAATGACCCTGTTACAGTGAACCAAAGGGCAAAGTTCAACTTTCTTTTGATAATTATTGATCTAGAGAGTCCAGAGAATTGTCCTAGACTGGTCTGGTTCCGATCGGGCGAAAAACCAGGGACTAGTTCGCGAAAGTAGGTTTTGGACAAAATTAGAAATAGCAGAACATTTTTCTGGCCTAAATCGATTTTGGAGATACACATTTTGACCGCCTTGAGCCAAGGATCTTGACTTGATTCTAAGTCAAACTGTCTAGGAGTTATGAGCAATTTAGTACTTTTGGTTGCTGTAGCGCCACCTATGGGCCAATCAGGGTCATACTCTGATAGGTTCTCCCCAAACTGAGGCCCTACCACCTGGCCGAGTTTCAAGTCTCTAGGCCTTACGGTTTGGGCTGCACGATGCGTTTTAGGGTGGTTTTTTTTTTCAAATAGCAATTACAATAGGTTTTCAGCACTTCGTGCTTGAACACCTAAAAATGAATAAATGCTATATAAGCATAAATAACTTTTGAAAACGACAAAACACACAGCAAAATTGCTAAAACTTTCAACTTTCTTTAAAACATTCTTAAAACGGAAAATATGTAAAGAAATCGAATTCAAAATATTAACAAATATATAATAGTATGTCAATGATACTAAAATAACACTGCTTTATAAATTCATTTATGTATATCACATCAGCTTTAGATGTTTTTTTTTTCTGCATCAACCTTTAAATAAAAGTTAAGAAATTCTTGGTATTTTTAAAGGGGTCATGACATGGGGTGGTTGCACAAAAAAAACCCAAATATTATGCAGAAAAACTATTTGCAATCTTCATTTTAAGGTGCTGCTCCTTTTAAGGCTTGTCAGTAAACAGCCACTGTTATGATTGGCTAACGTTATTGCGTAAGAAACAGTATCAACGCCCACTCACTATTGCACGCGAGTAAGTGTTTTAAAAACATTATCCATATAAAACCGTCATTTACAGACAAAGCATTATGAAATCATTTACTAAAGGTTTGTGATGCAACTGCTGTCAGATCCAATACAGCTGGATGCTTTAAAGCCAGTGGGCGGGGCCTATGGTGCGACGATGTAAAACTATTCGTTAATGTCTTGCTCTGGAGGCGGGAATATGCAAATGTATTTGCCAGTGTGATTTGCCCAATATCAAAACAAGCTATTTTGGAGCTTGATTAAATAAATGCTTTGTTTATAATCAGGGCATTTTAAGCTATTAAACTTGCAGGATGTTTAATGATACAAAGAGTGTCTTAAGGTATGTCTTTATGAGCTCTTTACACACAGATGTCTCCTGAAGCACAGAGAAACATATGGTTTTACTGAGACCGTCTCAGTGGGGATGGGCGGCTCATAACTGTGATCGATGTCTCGGCTCTGTTTTTGCTCTTCATAGTCTCACAGCTCTCGAGCGCCGCAATCCAAACTCTGCAGCAATTATCCCGTCAAACTTGTCTTTAAACCATAATTAAACACAGGCGACAGACCCTTCTCCACCTATCCGTCAGCACATTCCAGATTTCGAATCCTTATATCACATTATATACTAAATACTTTCTTTGGTATTTTGATTTCATGTTTACCAGTCCATATTTTCCTGTGGGAACTCAACATAATGTGGTGTCTCATGCGAATCCTCCCTTTTTTTAATTGCAGGATTGCACAGTGTTTGAAATGGAGGAGAAGATATTAGAAGTGGTGAGTAGAAAGTCTTGCCGTCCGACGTTTCACACGCGGTGTATTTATGAATTCCCCTGAAGCAGCAACATCATTCAGGCCGGCAAACTTCTCTCAGGTCAGAGATTCAGCTGTTATCTGTGATGCATTCGGGTTCATTGTAAGTGTGGAGATGTTTTCTGGAGCATCCTGTGTATAACAGTATCTCACAGTCTTCATTAAAGGAATGTTCTGGATGCAATACAATAATTTGGACTGTTTGTAATAACTAGGATAAATTGCATGTGCACTTGAAGTCTATGGGGCAAGGCATTGCACTTAGAAATAACATTAGCAATACTTAATGTGATTCTTTTGGGATTTGATTGGATGGGATTTGATAAATTATGATTTTTGTTTAATATCAGATGTCCTGTTGGGCGGTCCCCTTGGCCAATGAAAGCTGCGATGGGTCCTGCTGAACATAAAATAGTTATGAATTGCTATGAAATTGTGTTGGTTTTGACTTGAAAATTGGTCGCTGGTTCCATAAAAATACTTGCATCCGAATGTTATTTGTCTAAAACACTGGTTCTCAGTCCTGGCCCTGGAGTACCCCAACACTGCACATTGTTAATGTCTCTAATCTAACATATTTATTTGAAGTCTTGGGCTGTGTTCAAAATCGCTATTCCCTACATTACTCCACTAATATAGTGCACTCGAAGGAGTGAATGAAAACGAGTGAGTGAATTCGGACACTGAGTTTCCCAGAAGCGATGCCGCTTTTGCATAGTTTGTGTTTGCTGTTTAATAATCATTTGAAGCTTAGCAAACTGGCAGCTCCAGTAGCAATTAAGCGATTTATCTTTAACTCTGTCATGGAAACTAGCATGTATAAAACCTTAATTAAACAATTATACCTGTATAATATTACGCAGTACCCACATTGGACCAGTGGTTTGGAAAATGGATGGATGATTTGATTCAGCTGCAGGCGCCATCTTCTGGTCAGACGCGGGAATTCATTCAGCACGACCCTCACAGTGCATTATGGGTATTCTCTAACTGTTGAGCGTACATCAGTTGCACACTCTTTTTTTAAAGTGCATTATGGGATTGAATGAGTGCACTCGATAATGTCTACTATGGTTTCTACAAAATGGCTGTCGCTTCAAATAGTGCCCTATTTAAGGGTATAGGGGGCGATTTCAGACACAGCCCAGATCTTCTGCCGTCAGTCTGAAGGTCTGGCTACACAAGACTACAAAATATGCATGAAGCAACTTAAAGGGTTAGTTCACCCAAAAATGAAAATGATGTCATTAATGACTCACCCTCATGTCGTCCCAAGCCCGTAAGACCTCCGTTCATCTTCGGAACACAGTTTAAGATATTTTAGATTTAGTCCGAGAGCTTTCTGTCCCTCCATTGAAAATGTGTGTACGGTATACTGTCCTTGTCCAGAAAGGAAATAAAGACATCATCAGAGTAGTCCATGTGACATTAGTGGGTTAGTTAGAATGTTTTGAAGCATCGAAAATACATTTTGGTCCAAAAATAACAAAAACTACGACTTTATTCATCATTGTATTCTCTTCCGGTTCTGTTGTGGATCCGCGTTCAGTGCCACTGCTGATGTGTATCTGGTGCGTCCATGTATTCGGGTTCAAATAAATATGACTGGGCAAAAAAATGCAAGTCTTCCTCTGTGTGGAAATCCTTAGACATGTTTGCGAAGATTGTTTTGTTTCCAGCGTGCGTCTCCCTCAGACTGTAAACGAAGCTCGGGCGCACCAGACACACGTCAGCAGCGTCTTACGTCAGCGGCGGCACTGAACGCGGACCCACAACAGAACCAGAAGACAATACAATGCTGAATTTTTGTTATTTTTGGACCAAAATGTATTTTCGATGCTTCAAAACATTCTAACTAACCCACTGATGTCACATGGACTACTTTGATGATGTCTTTTTCATGTCATGATGTCTTGACATAATTTTTTGGGTGAACTAACCCTTTAAAATTGTGCATATTACATAGGCATATTTTTCCAAATTCTGGATTAGTTATAATAACCAAATGGTGGATTCTAAGTATCACAACATTGTTCTTTCTGTTTACTTAAGGCACGGGTTTTGACTGGCATTTGCGACTCCACCATGAGAATTACCTCTGACCCCTTGAAGACTCACATGACCTGTTTGGAGGAAGTCCCCATCCCCAATATCAAACCAGGCGAGGGACTGGTGAGTGTCAACACCTTTTGCACACGACTCGCTGGTATTGTTGTGCTCGTTGTGTAACAACTGCATGTTATTTGCTTATTCTTTGAAGGGGATGTATATCAAATCCACTTACGACGGACTTCACGTCATCACCGGAACCACGGAAAATGTGAGCCGAGCTTTTTTAATTCACTGATAGAACAATAGATCGCTGTGACTTGTCTTGCTGTTAATGCATCAATGTCCAGCATCACTTCATAGTGTCTAATGGTTTGACAAGATCCATAAAACAAGAAACAGAGCATTACTTCAATTGATTAATAATGTCTGTCTCTGTTTCACTCCTCAGTCTCCAGCGGACCGAACTCAGCGGATTCATGCAGGCGATGAGGTGATACAAGTCAACAGACAAACAGTGGTGAGCCCATCCGTCTGTCACATGATAGTGAGGGGGATTATGGGTAATTAATCTGCTCTAAAAGAGTGAAAGGAAGCAAGATGGCGAGCTTTTTGTGTTGGACTGAGTAAACCTGATCCATGTGAGAGAGAGATATGTCAGTGCTGAAAAGCCTTTTGGATAACCGTATTGTTATGGACTCCTTTATCATTGTTTTGGATCAGGGCTGTTTTTTATTCACCTCATATTTACTGTACAGTGAAAGCACTGGTGCCGAACCGTTTGTGTTTGTACAGCATAAAGCTATTCAGACTGCATTTGTTCAGCTACAGTAGGATCAACTTTCCCCCATTTATGGTCATTTATGTCCAGGTTTCATTTCAAGTCAAACCTTGTGAAAAAGAAGTGCACTTAATTGTATTTAATGTGCCCTTGTAGTGTACTTCAGATCTTAAAAGTATAGTTTTAAAAACAGGTAATATAATATTAATGAAATAAATTGCCGCTTAAGTAAACTTAGAGTACACTTTCATGACTATGTTTCTTAACACACTTAAGTACACTCTTAAAACATTTATCACTTAATCTTTTGTCTGGTTTTAAAGAACTACACTTATTTCGATTAACATACTAAAGCATGTGTGAAGTACTTGATTATAACTGTGGTTTTAACTGTAGTGTGTTATTTGATATCACATTATTAAAGTTAATGTATTTTAAATGTATTAAATTGCAAATTCATCATTATAAATGTGTAATTGCAAATACACGTACACATAAAAGTTTCAGTATAAATGACATTAAAGTATATTTTAGTTTACCATAAATGCTTGTCGGTACATTGGCAAGATACTCTAAATATATTTAAATGACAAGTAGTTATGAAATAACTTATAAATATGTACTTAATCCCACATAAATTGGTCTAAAAGCTCTTAAGTTCAACACATTGGATTTACTATTAATGTGAACTATAATACAATTTCATTTAATTGTAAATAACATAAAATCATTACATTTATTTCACACTTAAGTATTGTAACAATTATCCACTGAAAACATGAAACAAGAACAGACGTGGCAAGTATATTCTTTTTAAGTATATTATTTCTGTTATAAGCACTCTTTTTAAAAGAATGCTAAAGTGTCCTTTTTTCACAAGGGCATTTCCGCCTCACAGCAAAAAACAAATCACATAATTGTGAGATAAAGTTCAAAATAATTTGGATACAGATTAAAGTTAATTATTAAAATTTATAATACAGTATATGTAATAATGAGAAAACAATTACGAGAAAGCCGTAGTTACAAGAGATAAAGGCACTAAACGTCAAAATTATTAAATACATTTCACCCCAAAATAATACAAAAAATCTTTACATTTACAATTTAAATAATATATCATTTATTTATACTGCATTGCACTAATGAAAATGCATTACGGTAATGAGAAATCTGCGCGATTAATGTGAACGTCATTCCCCAATGCAAATAAATCGTATTGTCCTAAACTGGAACTGGAAATAGGATTCATTTTCATTAAGTGAAATATCATTTCTTATTTCATATTGATTCTGGGGTGAAATATGATGTGGACATGTTTTTGACAGGTTTTGTGAGAGTAAACTGATGTACTCCTGTAACTTCTTCTCAGGTGGGCTGGCATTTGAAGAGTCTGGTGGAAAAGCTCAGGGAAGATCCTCAGAACGTGACACTGATGGTGAAGAAAAGGCCGTCAGGCACCTGTGGCTTCACCCCCGCACCACTGAAGAACATGCGCTGGAGACCCCCTGTCGTCCAGGTACTGCCCTCGCTGTCTCTGTCTGTTTAGATTCGGGCTGGATTCCAATCTGCATGCTGTTGACATCAGGATTGTTAAAAAAGTAGTCTTTTTGCATGGATCTGGACTAATATTGTCCACTTTGAGTAATCCAAAATGTCAGGTTTAGCCCAGTGACATCAGTTTGATGCTGTTTTGAATGCTTTAGTCAGATGCAAATTACACACTAGAGTGTGCCGTTTCAGAGAGGCTAGCAATAGCAAGCTAGCTTTGAAAGCATACGATACTGATTACTGTTTTACTATATCTTTTTTATCAAATAAATACAAGTGAGCATACTGAAAGAGACAAAAAGATTAAATTTTTTTTACCTAAACCCAAACTTTTGAACACTTGTGTAGACTGTTACAGTATGCAAATAGTAATAGCCTGTGAGGTATTTTACAGTGTGTTTCTCTGTGTTTTTCACATTTGCACAAACTCCATGAACTTTCATTGTTTCAACATGAGTGGATGGGTTTGTATGGGTGTTGCAGGACTAAAACAATGAAACGCTTCTTCCCCTTCACATACACATTAACTTGCCTCTGAAAATGCATGTAGATTTCACAGATCTTTCACAGCTGACTTGTGTTGATTATCAGTTCAGATTGCTGGACCAGCAGCAGGGTTTCACATCAGGATGTGTGTTTCCACTTGATTAAACTCCCAGTCCAAATGTCACGCAGGCATTGATTTTGAGAAATACTGTTGCTAATATTAGTCCATATGGACTCTCTCAAACCCCTCGCCATTCTTTTTAAAGGTCAGACCGTAGATTACAGCTCAAGAAAAGCGATTTCCATTTGATGAAAAAAACATTAATGTAAAAATCCACGAGAAATAGTTTATGTATTAGTGTTTTTTTTGCATGTAAAATGGAGATTGCGATTATCCCACGATTCTGAAGAAAAATAACAAACAAAATAACTTGCAAACTAGAGGTTCTGAAAGATGGTTCATTGCTTTAGTCAATTTAACAAATATATAAATTTGAACGAAATTATTTTTACACAAAAAGTCAATGTCTCATTCATAAAGACTTGTTTCGCTATTGGATGAATCGGTGTTTGTGAATAAATCTTTAATATTAATGATTCAATGACAAACACTTTTTTTAAACAGTCACTTGTCGCCACCTCCTGGCGTAACAATAAGTAATACAATATAAGTGTCAAAATACTTTCAAAACATGATTTACTGTTTATACCTAAACTATAAACTTTTATCCCCTGTTATTTAAATCTTTGTAACAGATAAATAATGATAATGTGTGGTTGAAAAGACTGCTTTATACTGTTCATTTACATGGCAGCTGCTCTCTCCAGATCAGCGGCAGCTCGAAAGCAGATTCGAATGTTGCAGTGTGATGATCGTTTTTTTTAAAGGTTAACCAAAGTCCCTAAAGCCTTCGGTTTAACCAGTTTAACATTGCGAGCGTTAGCGGAACGTGAGCAGCACGTGTTTTGTCGCTGCCCATATCAATGAATTCACATTGGAAGCGTGACGGCCAACAGTCTCATTCATTAAAGCTGCAGTCCGTAGTTTTTCCTCTTTGTCGCCATCTCTGTTCGAAATCTGCAATTGCAGTCATTCGCGGAATTATCAACTTTACGTGAGTTGTACTTCAACACCCTTGACACGGCACAGCGCGGAGGAACACAGTGTTTGAGGAGACTGTGAGGCTGTCAGTCACCGCGCCGGTGTGGATACTGGCATTCAGAATCACAGATTATTCTTTTTGGAAGTATGACCAACATAATAAGTGCTGTGAGAAAAGGCTATAAATCTCCACCTCCAGCATCCTTACACACAACATAGTTTATACTAGCCGAGACTCTTCTTTATGTGTACAGATGTGACTTAATGACTCAAAGACATGCTCGAATCTCCCGCGGAAATCCACCAGTATCACTGGAATTAAAAACATTATTACAAGCTTACTGTTTTGAATCGAGCTAAGGCAAGCAGATAGTTTTGAACACTGGCTGGTTATGTATTTTCTCAAATATGTATTTTGGATAATTTTTAACCCCAAAAAAGCTACGGACTGCAGCTTTAACATGGGCAGCGACAAATTACGAGTTGTTCCTTGACGCTTGCGATGTGAAACAGAGGTAATAGACAAAGCGGAATCGTTGCCATTTAGGAATAAGATCGCGTGGGTGTTTGAATAGAGATCGTGATCTTTTTAACGATTAATCGTAACAACTATGCAACCACCTACAAACTCATTGTACCATCCATAATGTCCTATACCATTGTGGTGATGAGTTCGAACTGACGTCTTCGGCATGGGAGGCGGTGTGCGCTAACAATGACGCTAAAGACTGCAGTCACTAGCGTGCCTCTTGAGATCAGGGGAGTGAGGTTTACTCACACAGCTCTTACTAGCTTGCCTCCGTTACACTCACCTCCCTAAACCGTACTCCCATCCGGGTCACGGCACCAATATAACCCCTCCGGTTCTACTCGCACCGCTCCGAGCGGGATTGGACCTGACGTCTTCGGCATGGGAGGCAGGGGCGCTAACAAGGATGCTAAAAACCTAGCGTCTGCCAGTGCACTTCTTCTGGCCAGAAGTAGAGTTTACACGCACAGCTCTTACTATCTTGCCTTCGTTACACAAGCACCACTCACATTTCAGAAAGTGTAAAAATCTAGTTTACAAAATGTACCTTTCAATTAATGAAAGGCCTGCTTGCCAACAAATGTTCTTTTCAATATCTGTTTATGCAATTCATATAATTCATACAGGAACTTATTAAGTATAAAGACTATCACCGGTTATTTTATCAAAAGTCAAACAGTACTTTTGGAATAATGTGGACTTAAGTTCATTCTTGCCCTGGCAAAGTCTATGATTATAGGCTTAAAGAAAGTCTGCATTCAACAAAAATTGGCATGTCTTAACAAACAAAGCAGAGCCTTGAGATGAAAAAAAAAATTCACTACAAAGTATGTTATTGTAGTGATTTGGTGTTGAGGTCAAAGGTCGGTGGATTGAAATGGAGTGAAATTGATACAACTGTTAATCTCATTTAAAAAGATTATGTAAGATGTAATTTAGCAAGGGTTTCTTCACAATTATCATATGCAAACATGTCTTAAACATGGCAGCATGAGGGATTAATAACTTTGTTTGTTTCAGAGCCCATCGTATGTGCCTGCCGCCCAGTCATCCAGAAATCCTGTGCAAATCTCCATCAAGCGGCCGGAGAAACCTGCAATTTTAGATCTCTATATTCCTCCTCCTCCTTCCATGCCATACAGCCCACGGTCAGTTTCTGTTTCTCTGATAACGTATCGCCATCATATTAAAGGGTTAGTTCACCCCAAAAATGAAAATTCTGTCAGTAATTACTCACCCTCATGTTGTTCCAACCCCGTACGACTTTCAATTCATCTTCGCAACACAAATGAAGATATTTGTGATTAAATCTGAGAGCTGGATCACTCCTCCATAGGCTTCTGAAGGGATCGAAACTGGCCGGCCCAAAAGTTATGAAAGACATCGTTAAAATAGTCCGAGTGACTACAGTGGCTCAATCTTAAGTTTATCAAGCGACGAGAATACTTTTTGTGCGCAAAAAAACAAACAAAAATAACGACTTTATTCAACTAATCATTTCCTTCTCTGTACGGCCGTGATATTTCACGTAGGGAAACTACGCAAAGCTTCTAGGTTGTACGTCACGCATCACACACATGACCAGCGTCGGCCAATAGTGAGCCTACGTGTGACGTGCAACCTTGAAGCTTTGCGCAATATCACTACGTGAAATATCACGGCCCACGGATAATGAAATGAATAGTTGAATAAAGTCGTTATTTTTGTTTGTTTTTTGCGCACAAAAAGTATTCTCGTCGCTTGATAAACTTAATATTGAGCCACTGTAGTCACTCGGACTATTTTAACGATGTCTTTCATAACTTTTGGGCCGGCCAGTTTCGATCCCTTAAGAAGCCTATGGAAGAGTGATCCAGCTCTCAGATTTCATCAAAAATATCTTCATTTGTGTTCCGAAGATGAACGAAAGTCTTACAGGGTTGGAACAACATGAGGGTGAGTAATTACTGACAGAATTTTCATTTTTGGGTGAATTAACCCTTTAAATCAATTACTCTGTGGCTCTGTTTCAAAACATAGTGAATCGTCTTACTTTACTTCCTGCATAGGCGGCTGCCTTCTTAGGCATAATAAGCACTACAAATTAATTATGCATTCTTGATTCATCATTTTGTAGAAGTAGAGTTAAAAAATCTTGCTGAATTTTTTTTGTAGAAATGGTACATCGCCATCAAACTCCAACCAAACGGTCTTGAACGCATCATAAGTCATAATTACAACGTCACAACTCTTACATACGAACTTCCCAAGAGAACTTGAATGCACCATAAGCTCGAACAAGCACAGAAATGCATAGTGAACATGCACCAATATTGGGTAGAACTGTCATTTTTATTTGTAATTATGAACTTTTTACCTATACTTCATCCACCATTTTAGAGAATTTTAAAACGCTGTCTTGGATTGTTAACACTATAATGCTTCTTTATCTCTGTATGTCTGTAGAGATGCAGAGACGAGTGAATGTGCAGGTGTGAAGATGAGACCAAAAGGCTCAGAGTCGCCCAACTCCTCTCTGGATTTAGCTGGTAGACGGCGTTCAAACGCCAGCGACTACACCAGCAAACCTAGCGTGAATCCAGCCGAGGTCGTCATCCCACAAGCAAGACTGAGACAGCGGACTCCATCTAGAGGTCAGAACCTGTTTAACAAACAGAACTTTATTTTTGTGACATTTCCAAACTATTGTCACTTATACATAACATGATTGTTAAAGGGATAGTTCACCCAAAAATGGAGAAAATAATTGACTCACCCTGAAGCCATCCTAGGTGTATATGACTTTCTTCTTTCAGCCAAACACAATCAGAGTTATATTAAAAAAATATCCTGGCTCTTCCAAACTTTATAATGGGAGTAAGTAGAGTTTTTGAAGCCCAAAATAGCACATCCATCCATCATAAAAGTAATCCATACGGCTCCAGGGGGTTAATAAAGGCTTTAGTTTAGGGTCAGGGGTCACTCTTCCGCCAGAACTAGACTCGCGTACGGCAGTGATTATAGTTTATAAAGTTATAAATATGGATATTTTTATTACAAAAACACATCGCTTCGCTTCAGAAGGCCTTTATTAACCCCCAGAGCCATATGGAGCACTTTTATGATGGATGGATGTGCTATTTTTGGCTTTAAAAACTCTACTTACGCCCATTATAAAGCTTGGAAGAGCCAGGATATTTTTTAGTATAACTCCGATTGAGTTTGGCTAAAAGAAGAGAGTCATATATACCTAGGATGGCTTGAGGGTGAGTAAATTATGGGATAATTTTCATTTTTAGGGAAAAGAACCCTTTAAGGCTTTTTTCTTTTTGCGTATCCAAACACGTAGTCTGAACAGCAAAAAAAAAAAAAAAAAAAAGAATGACCCCAATGCAAACCAAATTATATTCCAGATGACAAGTTTTAGTCCAGTTCATTATATGAGCCAGTTCTGTTAATAAATGGTTCAAAAGACTCACAAAATTAGAATCAGTCTGACGAATCATTCACTGAATGAACTTACTGAATCAACAAGACTCACTTAGTTATCATTACTTTCATTCCGTCTGAGTTACACAAGTTGTAAGTGAAAATTAAATGACGAAATAAATGTCTTATCCAGCACGCCTCGAGCAAGGACTCAATTAGACTGATTCTGTCTTTGTGCACATGCTTCAGGAAAGCCACGTCCCATGTCCATGCCGGTAGACACTTGCCTGGGCGCGTCGGACTCTCCCTCCAGACCCTGGGCTCTTGGAAGGAAAGGTAAGCGCAACACCTGCCTGTGTGTAAACTACAACTGAATCTCCAGCTGTCAGCGTAAACATTTCACAAGCACAGTTACATGGGGAGGAGCAGACAAAGGTCAGATAACACTGTAATATTTGCATTTTTGTCTCTGTAAGTAGCTCAAGGGGTAATATCTCTATACCCATAGTTCATTTCGGTCAGACATCAGTAAACTTTTGGAATGTTTTTGCAGATTAGAAATACATGCAGAGTTGTTTTCCTGTTGTACTGAAGAATCTGAAGTCATCATGAATTTTCTTTTACATTGTTGCAACGTTTGCTACTGTTACACTTAAAGTATACTTAAAAGTATACTTTTATAGATTAAAAGTGGACCAAATTAGTCCCAAGTAGTATTGAAACAGTAGACTTACAAGTACATACTAGTACATTGATAATAATATACTTACTAAAGTATACTTAAAAAAATATACTAGCTTTGAAACAATCTACATTGTTAAAAGCGCTATATAAATGAAGATGACTTGACTTGACTTGAACTGTACATAAGTATACTTCATAAAATTGACTTGAGGTATACTTACTTTTTCACGCGCACTCATGCATGTGCAGGAACAGACAAAAAGTACAAAAGTAACAACACATTACTTTCAGCTTTCAATAAAAAGAGTTGTCCAGTAGGTAATATAAGCTGTAACGTTAAGAGATCTTTTGTGCCGCGTACATAGCTCTAGGGGTCGGGAAATATTCGAAGTAGTCAGAATATAGTAATATCCTTAAAGTGTTTTTAAAGGTGTATGTTATAATATAATATATGATGTTGAATGCATTACTGTTAAACACTTGCACAAAAGAATTATGTGAAAAGTAAAAAAAATTAAAAAAACACACACGCAAGGCCTGGAAGAGAGTGAGCCTCAGCCAGGAGAGAAAAAGTAAAGCTAAAGTAACGTAACAGTACAAAAGTAATGTAACTAGTTACTTTTTTAGGGAGTAATGCAATATTGTGACTTTTAAAAGTAACTTTCCCCAAAGCTGAAGGTTTTCCTCTATAGGGGCTTTCGCACCCTATAGAGGAAACCTTTTCATAGTTCCTAGAACTATTGGCAGAAGTTCCCGTTCTTGGCGTGTTCGCACCGCAGGAACTGGGAACTATTTTAGTTCTAGGAACTCCTTTCAGAGGAACTAATTGAGCTCCTACTTCAGAGTAAGGTCTAAACCAGCTCTATAGGAACTATCCGTGACTTTACTGACGCTGATTGGCCGAACGCACGCGAAACACCAGCACCCGCCATTTTTTTAAATTTAGATTATAGCCTATATTTTTACTCATGAACCTGGAAAACAGTGATAGATGGACCTCTCAACCTTTACGCTGAGGAGAAAATCCAACGCAACTTTGAGGGGACCAAGCCAAACATGATTATGTATTTCTGCTCAGCTAGCAACAATGGACATCAACCACACGGCATACGCTAATACCTTTTCATACTGTCTACTTTCTGAGAACATTGTGCTTGGTATGTTTTTCATCCTCAAACCAAACTTGGGTCTTGAGTTTAAATCCCGTCGGGCTAGTGCACTTCCCATAATGTGTACACGTTAGCTCAGTAGGCGGAGAGTAGACGGTGTTTTCTGGCTGTTCGAACGCATTTGACCACATGAGCGTTTACGAAAACAATGCGTTTTCAACTACCTCTGGAAGTGGTTGAAAGTGGACAATTAAAGGGGTGGTTCAGGATTTTGGACATCGGGCCTCATTTCCAAGTGAGCCTTATGTCATGTATTTGTCTCTTGTTTTGTGTGCAAACACATGGTCGGTTGTTTTGGGCTATGTGTTGGCATTGTCTTGTGTTTTACCTGGTTTCCTTGTTAATGTTGTATCAGTGTCACCTGTGATTGTGATCATGTGTCCTTACCACGCCCCTTGTTCCCTCGTTAGTATTGATGTTCATCAGTGTCACCTGTACCTTTTGTGATGTGTTCTATGTAAGCTCCCGGTGTTTGTTCCTCAGTGCTGGTTCGTCTTGTTAACAGTCGGTTCTGTGAGTATTGTGCTCTGTCTGTGAAAGTTCCAGTTCCTATTTGTGGTCAAGTCTAGTTATTGTCTGAGTTACTGGTTGTTTGCCCCATCGTGGGTCTTTGTTTTCCGTTTGTAATAAACCGTGTTTTGTAAAATTACTGTCTGCGCTTGGGTTCTATTTAGCGTAACATGACAGAACGAACCAGCCCATTTGAACCCAGCAGACAGTCGACTATGTCTTGTTCCGCCAGTAGCCAGTTGGGTGACGAGGAGCGATGGTGGCAGTCGACACATCGAGGACATGAGGAGGGGCAAGATTCCGTTTCCTCCCCAGGGAGAGAGATCCCTGGAGAGATATGCCCAGGGCCTAGAGGAGAAGAGAAATTTTACGCCGGAGGTCCTCCTAAACTCCTATTTCATCGCGGGGCTCAATGTACCACCTCCGCTGGCTGAACGGCAGGGGCTGATCCGACGCCCATTTCGAGAGGTAGTGGACCATGTGCGTCGAAAGGAGCGGCAAGACCCCACAATGACGTTGTCCGCTTCTGCATTACCAGCGATCCCGGAGAGTCGCGTCCTAGCCACGACAACGCTTGGCGCCCACGTTCTCGCTGCTTCGACGTTGGCGGGGGGTCCTTCAGCCTTGGCTGCGGGGATCACGGTACCGATCCTAGATCCGGCTATGGCTTCTGCACCGCGGTCAAAGAGGAGGAGGAAGAGATCGTCGGGTTTGCCGTCTCAATCCCTTCCCGGCTCCGTGCCGATTCTTCAGGTTGCTTCTGACAGTCTGGTCCACGCTAAGGCAGATGGGAGAGTGACCAAGTCCAGCCCTGTCCCAGCTGTGGAGTCTAGTTCTGTCCACGCTGTGGTAGATGGGAGAGTGACCAGGTCCAGCCCTGTCCCAGCTGTGGAGTCTACTACTGCCCACGCTGAGTCGTCTGTGGCACCCCCTGTCCCAGTTCCGTTGCGAGTTGCAACGCCCCCAGTTTTAGGTTCTGTATCGTCTCCTCTGCTTGCTGCCACAACATCTGTTGTTTCCCCGATTACCCCTGTTCCTGTTGTGCCCCGACCTGTCCCCCCCAAGACTGTACCTCATGTGTCTCCACCCAGAACTGCCCGGTTTTCGTGTCCTCAATCAGTGCCCATGTCCAATGAATTTAGGACTTTTGTTCCACCCACCCACCCTGGACCTCCACCTACGAACTCTTTTGTTCCCCCACCCCCCCTCCCTCATGTGTTATTTTTATTGTGTCATCCCGATCCTACTGTTATGTTTTCGTGTTTGCCACTGTTAATGGTTGTTATGTTTTGTTGGTTTATGTCTAGTTTACAGTCGGTTATGTCCCATGTGGAGCGTCTGGTAGCCGCTCCGTAAGGAGGAGGTTATGTCATGTTTTTGTCTCTTGTTTTGTGTGCAAACACATGGTCGGTTGTTTTGGGCTATGTGTTGGCATTGTCTTGTGTTTTACCTGGTTTCCTTGTTAATGTTGTATCAGTGTCACCTGTGATTGTGATCATGTGTCCTTACCACGCCCCTTGTTCCCTCGTTAGTATTGATGTTCATCAGTGTCACCTGTACCTTTTGTGATGTGTTCTATGTAAGCTCCCGGTGTTTGTTCCTCAGTGCTGGTTCGTCTTGTTAACAGTCGGTTCTGTGAGTATTGTGCTCTGTCTGTGAAAGTTCCAGTTCCTATTTGTGGTCAAGTCTAGTTATTGTCTGAGTTACTGGTTGTTTGCCCCATCGTGGGTCTTTGTTTTCCGTTTGTAATAAACCGTGTTTTGTAAAATTACTGTCTGCGCTTGGGTTCTATTTAGCGTAACGTGACACCTTAGTGTTATTTATCAGTTGAGACAGTTTTCAAAATTTTTCATCCAGTCGTTCCAGTTGCATAGTTCGCCGGTGCTAGGCTAGCGCGAGTCAATGGTAACTGCTAGCCTGCCATTAAAAACAGTTTTAGCCACTCCACAGTACACCAAAAGCAAATAAATTATAACGCCAGACTATCCATGTAAATGTCTGTTAAGAGAATAATGTTAAAAATCAAACTACTCTTGCATCTCAATGATCGCAATACATTTACAGGAACTAGTTTCTCAGCAGCGGCGGGATTTTACTTTACTCCGGTTAGTAGTCCTGCGCCGAAAAGTAAACACAGAACCGAAGCGCACTACAGTCGGGACTCCCTGCACTACCTCTCTCTACCTCTCTCTCTCACTACCTCTCTCTCTCACTACCTCTCTCTCACACTACCTCTCTCTACCTCTCTCTCTCACTACCTCTCTCTCTACCTCTATCTCTCACTACCTCTCTCGGTTGCCTAGGTAACTACATATCACTCCGCCGCTGCTGTAGACTGTGCTAATAAATACAGGGAACAAAGTATAACTATTGCAATGCAATGAAAGGGTAGTTTGATTTCTAACATTATTCTCTCAACAGACATTTACATGGATAGTCTGGCGTTATAATTTATTTGCGTTTGGTGTACTGTGGAGTGGGTAAAACAGTTTTTAATGGCAGGCTAGCAGTTACCGTTGACTCGCGCTAGCCTAGCACCGGCGAACTATGCAACTGGAACGACTGGATGAAAATTTTTGAAAGCTGTCTCCACTGATAAATAACACTAAGGCTAACTTGGAAATGAGGCCCGATGTCCAAAATCCTGAGCCACCCCTTTAAGCTCAAAATGTTTTAGACACCGTTCACACCTGTATTTAGCGCCGTCGTCCACTTATGATCCGGTCGACCAAAACGCATTTTAATACCAGCTGTAAACAGGGCCTAAAAGTGTTTCCATCCTTATATGATGTGTCTTGTCTGTCCTCAGGTGAGGAGGTTTTGCACAGGTATCTGAGTAACGAACAGATCCCCACCATCTCAGAAGAGTCGCCCTGTTACCCACTGCCCTACCGGCCCACAGGCGAACGCCAGCTCGTCCGAGGGGTCGACCACATCCGCGGGAGCCAGTGTTTCATCAATGCGAACCTACACGACAGCGCCACCATACCCTACCAGGAAGCCATGGCACGCAAGCCTGCGCCGAAATCTCCCAAGAGACCCCCGTCCGAACCCTCTGTGCTCAGCAGCTGGATCGCACGGCTCAAGCTGCTCACGCACTGAAGCCTGCAGGGGGTCTGCCATCCGCGTGCAGTATTATCTCTTAAAATCTGGAACGTCCCGTAGGATCCGGGACCAGGATCTGTTGAAATTCAGCTCGGCCAGTATTAAAGACCTCCTCGGTGGAACGCCTGTTGCTTTTCATCAAGACACTACTGAAAACTCTTGTTCATGATTAATCAGGTCTTTAAAAGGATTTTCACTTGGAACTGTGTTATAACTTATTAAATTTGTGCATATATTGTATATTATAGATACTGGTCCAACTTATTTTCCACTTGCTAAATAGCCTTCTATTTTAAACATATGCCTTGTGTAAGTTAAAGCTATTTTATCTCTGAAATATAGAGAAGATAGAGCAAGAAAAAACTAAACAAAAACGTTTTTAGTTTTTTTTTTTAATAAGTGTCCCTTATTTAATAAACATTGCACATTGACATGTTTATAAGGCACTTAAATTTCTATTCATGTTTGGGAATTTTTCAGAATTTAAAATTGACTTCCTTTCCATTCACGAGAGTGAATTTGAATAGATTTGGCCACGCCTCACAGGAAGTTGGAATGGACTTTGAATTGGAATGACAGGAAGTTAAATTTACTGAAACGCAAGGTAATGATTTCATTGGTCCAAGACGCTTTGACTCATTATGCCTGATAAGTAGAATCTATTCGTTATTCTCAAACTGATTAGACATATTTCTCAAAAATAAGTTCAACACTTCACACTCTAACAGTCAATTTTTTTCATTGTGTCATACAGTACCACTATATTGAGGTTTGTAAGGTCGGTATTGTTTTTTTAAGGAAATTAATACTTTTATTCAGCAAGTATGCAATAAATAGGTCAAAAGTGACAGTAAAGACCTTTACATTGTTACAAAAGAATTCTATTTTAAATAAATCAAAGATTTCTGAAAAAATCTAACCGACCACAAACTTTTGAATGGTACTGTGTGTATTTATTCAATAACAATAGCAGTTTATTCTGTTCATTCCATTTTAATTTGACTTCCTTAAATTCATATTTAAACTAGCCTACATAGGCTGTTTCTGCATCCTGTTTGCTACCTCAATTCAAATTCAGGAATCGGCATTCTGAACTCAACTCTGAACGGCAGAGATCCCTGGTGAGAAGATGTAGTATTTCATAGCGTGAAGTGTCTGCCACATGAGCACAATATAGTCTGAACGCCTTTTAACCTTACTTACTTACATTTCAGTGTGAAAATAACTGACTATCATAAATGGTCTTCTATTGGGAATGTTGTTCATGCTTAAATCATGTGAACAGTAACAGATGCAAACAACAAGTTGTTATAAACAAGAACACTTCTCTTTGAGTCTTAAAACCAGTAACACTAGAGCAAGTCATAGTTTTGAGAAAGATAGGATACTACTTGATACTTGTTTATGTTGTCAAGAACTGTTAATAAAGAATGCTATAAATGGGAAAATCCTCTCATTCCATGGATTCTTGTCTGGGGCAAATGCGGTCAGCTTTGCCACTACGCCTTTCCTCCAGGGGGCGCTCGGCGGCTTTGAAAGACAACGAGTTTTTTTGTGTATCAAAAAATGTAGTCTATAATTGTTTACATCTGTTCATTAAAAAAATGTCTGCGTAAAATAAAAATGAAAACATTTAAATCTATCAATTCCAACTATTTCTACATAAATAATAATAAAAAAATTTATTTGTTTAAAAAGGTAATCTTATCACAACCAAGTCGTAAATAATTGAGAATGATTATATTTTTTTAAATATCTTACCTGTCTTTTTATCAGTCAGCAAATACAATACAGATATAATATAACAGTATCAAAGTTTTAAACAAAATACAACAAAGAACAGCAAAAATATAAAATAACCAAATAAAAGAATAAATGAATAAATAATAAAAACGGCCTGCAAATATAAATATAAGCTATTTAAAGAAACTAATGGGGGATCTTGAAAAAAAGCACTACAGGACAGTGTTTTCCTCGCAGTATTTTTTCGATACAGAGAGCGTTTCAAAATATTGTTGCAACTTGAGAAACGCCTTGAAATGTGGCTAATGATTGGAGGATTTGCACTTATGATACTTAGCCAGGAGTAATACATTTATAAAATTCTTTTTTTCAAATTTTTTTAATCTGTTTTTACGAAATCAAACAATACATCACAAAATTAAACGCAAAACTTTCCCAAAACACTTGTGTAATTACAGTACCAAAATAAAAGTACAATTGCTGCTTCTTGCATATTACAAAAGTTACACATTGTGTCAATGTCAGATTTCAATTTTATTAGGTAAAAATTCCCTGGGTATAGAATCTGTGGTTAATTTGAAAAAAGAAAAAGAAAAAAACCCCTAACTTTTCACACTAAGGTGTTTATGCTGCGATAGCCAACCATTTTACAATATTAGCAAGGTTACTCCAATAGAAAATTACATATGGTTTGTTGACAACCTCTCTGTGAAAGAGCACAAATCAATGTATTACTTGAATGTGGAACAAGACAAGCCTTAACCACTGTTTAGATTGGATCAAAAAGAGGTGATATGTTATTCACATTCTGTTCAATTAACATTTATTTGTATAGTGCTTTTCACAATACATAGTTTCAAAGCAGCTTTTCAAAAAATGCATGTTTCTACATTTCAATTTTGAGAATTCTGTTATTTGAGGTGACTGCAACGTAAGCATAGGCAAACTCTGTCCTAGATGGGCACTGTCCTGCAGAGTTTAGCTCCAACCCCAATCAAACACACCTGAACCAGCTAACCAATGTCTTCAGAAATACTATAGGCTACAGGCAGGAGAGTTTTATCAGGGTTGGAGCTAAACTCTGCAGGACAGTGGACCTCCAGGACTGGGTTTGTCAATACCTGGTGTAAAGTATAATGTCCATACGTCAAAAATACTACAAATCATGCAGTTAGCTAACCTAATGTATTTATTTAGGCAGAAACAATGATCTCATTAAAGCAATTATTATAAGTTTTGATTTGGCAGTGTATGTTGATTCAGAGTTGGCATCATCTGAAGTCCTCGTAAGAGGCTGGATCCAGACTGGACCTGATATAATCCTGGGGTAGAAACAGAAAGCAAATAATTAGTGTAGCTGCTGTTCATAATGTTTTAAGCAATAGTCATATGCTTTTGATCTGATATAAGGCGTGACAGCGGGGAATAAAGGGCACAATAAGGCCTCCATGGCAAGACACCACTCCCGTCCACCTGCATCAACACTCACACACGGACACACAACTCGTGATGAAGAGACCGCCAGCAGAAGTCCACCCCTGCCTTACTCAGCTCCTGTAACAACAGAATAAGATTATACATGACTCGGTACGTTTACACAAAATGAAAATTAGGCCTTTAATAAAAGGCCTTTATTAAACCATCTGAGCCGTTTGGGACACTTTTATGATGGATATGATGCACTTGTATGGACTTCAAAAAATAGTGTCCATTAACTCCCATTATAAAGCTTGGAAGAGCCAGGATATTCTTTTTTATATAACTCCGATTGAATTCGTCTGAAGGAAGAATGCCATATACACCTAGGACGGCTTCAGGTGGGCTAATTTTCATTTTTGGGTGAACTATACCTTTAAATACACAAGGACTAGTGAATACACAAGACACACAAGTCCATATAATCAAGACAATTACATGTAACATAAAACACGAACCCAAAACAAAACTATACAATCCAGTCTTATCAGAATTTAATAGATGAAAATGACTGGTCATCCAGGGCAGCATGAATGTCGAAAATAGCAGAGGGCCTTAAACAGACCATTGAGGCACTCCATAATTTTCTGATGTAAACTTGGATAATCCACCGTTTAAATTAACAAAATGGTATTGGTCAGATTTGTATGATCTAAACGACCCAAATGCCTGTCCCTGAATACTGGTGTAATTTTATAATCAATCTAAGAGTATGTCATGCCATCGACTGAAGAGCTCTTGCCATATTCGAAACCAGTGGTTCCCAAACTTTTTCCGCCGGGAGCACGAGAGATCTTATTCCCAAGTAATAGTGTTTATAGGGGGTGAGATGTTGTTCGACTCAGCAAAATGTTGACTATAGGCTAGAGGATAAATATATAAGCGTCGATTAGAAGATGGCCCAGGTTAAGGTGCATAGGGGAATTTCTACCACATCCTGTACAAAATTACACCCCCTGATCTTTAATGCATTAAGTTTACTTCTGGAGCACCAGTAAATGTTTTCACCAATTGTAATAGTTGTGTATGAGTCACTCAGTGTGAAAAGATGGATCTTAAAATCATACAGTCGCTGTTGGATCCCTTTTATTTTTCAATTATTCATATTTTTCAATTTTCACACTCTGCAAAGTGTAGCCTATGCAAACTTATGATTCAACTGTAAACTACTTAGAAAACAACAAATAGTGCAATATGCTGATAAAATATGCTAATAAAACATTTTAGAACTGCACATAACTGAGCAAAACTATATCCATATTTCACTAGAATAATTATATTTTTTAAAGGTGCAGTGTGTAGATTTTAGCGACATCTAGCGGTTCGGTTGCGAGTTGCACTAAGGGCTCAGCCCACTGCTCACCCCTCCCTTTCGAAGAAGCTACGGTGGCCAAAACGGGACAAACATATCGTCGTCTGAGACAGCAGAGAATAGCCAGAGTAAGCCAAGAGTGTGTAACATTGTCACTGTTTCTGTACCACAGTCCATTATAAAGCACATCATGGATAAAGTTTACAAAGCCATAGTCAGGTGAGGATCAAGGGTCTAAATATAGAATATAATAATAGTAATCAGCTGATTGTCTCACGAACGTAACCAGCACATTTCTCCCCACATAGCAAACCCATAATACAGCGAGGGAGAAGAACCACATGAAACTATCCAACGATATGTTTTTTCTAATAGGGTAGTAAAAGTTTAGCTGGCTAATATGAGCTGTTATGCTGTAGGGCTGTGGCTGAGCTGGTTAAAGCGTAAAGCCTTGTTTATACTCGACACGTCCGCATGAGCCCAAAGGTGCGCGCGGGCAAAATGACGTGATTGTAACAGCGCGCGCGCCTCCGCATCCCCTAGACACCATTTACTACACACAAATTAATAAATAATTAATAAAAATATTGTTTTTTTTCTCTGGTTTTGAAAACTCTTCGCGATCGACGGGTTGGTGACTCCTGTAACGTTACTGTTTTACGGTCAATAGTGCTAATCTGCTGATTGTCAAAGCCATAACACAGCGAGGGAGAAGAACTAAGTTACATGAAACAATCCAACTACATATTTTACACCACTGACAAGGGAAAAGTCACTACTCACGGTGTTTATGACTAGCTTTCTGTGGCTTCTCTTTCAAGGTAGTGACGAATCGCGCTCTGTAACGCTGTGTGTTCGCTGTCGCTACGGTAGAAACATGACGTCACAATATGTCGACCTTCATAGAAGGGGGTGCCCGCGGTTATGTAGATATAAATGTCTCATTCTAAGGTAATAAAAACATAACGGTTCATTGAGTAAGGTCTTTATACACCACTGAACACATAGTTATGGATCTTATATTGCATTTCTGTCAATAGATCCTCAGAAATATTACACATTGCACCTTTAAAGGTTTTTATTTCCATTATTTTCCATGACCGTGTATCGATATACTGTATCATTGGTTTGGTTTAAATAGAGAGCTGTCATGTGATAAGTCAGTGACCATCTTGAGATGTCATGAGGTGTACAGAAGCCTCGGAAAACTGCTCAGAAAAACGATGTGGACAAGGATGTTAACATTTATTTACAAGTTGGAGTCTAGTAATTAAAGGTGCTGTATGTAAGTTTTTGACTGGACTAAAGCATACAAATATCATAATATGTTTGCAGATATTTAGGAAACATGCGGAGTTATTTTACACAGCCAGTTATTTTACTTTGAAATGTGTGTACCGTGTTGGAATATCTGTTTTTGTGTTGTTCTGTGTAATCTCGCCCAATAGTATTTCGTCAGAGATCGCAGATTCTACCCTACCTAAAAAGCCTCCGCACCCATCTAAAAATGAACGGGAGCATATTAAAATGCGATATCAACTCATCATAAATCAACTCATGAACTTACGATCATAAGTCTCCTCGCCTTCCATTGTCAATACGGGTTATGCGCAACCAACTGTATTCTGTGAAACACAACGCGTCGCTTCCGGTGCATGTCCTCTGTACGAGCTTGAATATGGCGCTGTTTTACTCGAGATGTCTTCAGGAGCTACCGAAGATGAGCATAACCGATGTCCATCGCATTAACAGGTTGACATCTAAAACTCCTGCCACCAAAATGGATAAAGGGTTTAAGCCAGTGTTTCTCAACCTCTCCTGCAGGGACCCCCTGACAGGCCATGTTTCTGTTTTAACCCTGAAATGGCACACCTGATTCAAGTCATTAAAGGCTTAATGAGTAGTTGACTAATTGATTAATTGAACTATTCCTACTCTAATTACTCATTAAGCCTTTAATTACTTGAATCAGGTGTGCCATTTCAGAGTTAAAACAAAAACATGGCCTGTCAGGGGGTCCCTGCAGGAGAGGTTGAGAACCACTGGTTTAAGCTATACGCTTCCTCATACATATGCGACTACGAGGGCATGTACAAAATCTACGAACGTTAGCTAACTTATGATTGCTAAGTTAGCTATAGAGCTATTTCAGGGAGGTAGCTAGGCCTATTTTAGAGCTGTATATTAGTGATTATTTATCTTCATATATATATATATAAGATCAGTGTCTAACACAAACTGTGAGACAGGTACTTTTAGCCAACCATATTTTGATCTATGTTCCCCCGCATAATCACGTTGTCACTGATTTTTCACCAGTATCAAACAAAGACAAGCTGACTGGTGCTGTCAGCATAAGGGCAACCTGTCACAGGTCTATGGAGGAAAATGGAGAAGCCACGCAGCCTGAGAGTAACGTTAGAGATGGGTCGGGTGTTCTGTTCGAGTTCTCAATCTGTTCCAGAGAAGCCTCTTATAAAGTAGACTAATCAGTGATCATGACTGGGTCCCCTTGACTATCGTCAGAAAGGCAAGAGCTTTCATATTCTGAGATGCTTGGTTTATGCATGCACAGTTTGTTCCAAGTTCAGTGTTGTTTTATATGTACTTGTTATGGATCTCGGATAGTGAGGTCACTGGGGTATAGTTGACTGACTGTAAATCCTTGATCTTGAGTGCCACCCATCAATCAATAATATTCATAATCAGGCCTACCAAGATAAAAAAAAACTCTATTACAGTAATAACAAATCCTGTTATTGTATTAATGTCATTGCCAAACTTGCCCCAGCAACCTATAGACTGCTGCTCAAATCAGTGGCATCTGATAAAGAAGGATAAATTCAAGATAAACTACATTCTCAAATCAGTGTCAATGTTTGAAAAAATATGTCCTTTTGAACAGATAGTGCTTCAGGATTCTGACCCTGTCATCCTCATATCAAACCAGTGCTCATGTGTAGCTGGCACTGCAGTGTGTAACCACACAGTTGCTTTGCTCTTCCAAACCGCACACTATTAGAGCTGAATGTGCAGGTTGTGACCCCGGTCCAAACCTGCCCTGAGACAGGGCAGCAACGACACAAGCCCTGAACAGCGTTAAGTGTTGAGATGCAATTCTTAGGCCTAGTATTTCTGGTAATTGTGATGTACTTAATTATAAACAATATTGGAAGCACGATCTGTCAATGTCCAACTTGTAAAGGGTCAGATGGAGAGCAAAACAGTTTTGTTTCGCTTTTTTTTTTACATAGACAGTTGCATGTAATATGTCACATACCTTCCCTGACTAGTTAGTTTTTTCCCCTTTTCATTTTCTTGTCTCTCATGGTTGAGATTCTGTTGTTTGTCAGGGAGTGAAACCTGGGCCCATAAACAGCATGGTCATCACCAGACCAAGACTCATCCGGCTTATGGAAGGAGGAATCAGGCGATGTAGTGAGCTGTGATTACTGTAAATACTGCATCATACTGGGTTATACAATTGTTAGGATTGTTGTTTGTGTGGTTTTGGTTGTGTTGTTTCTCTTTGCAGGCGTAGCGCTGCTTAGCTGTTGCTGAGCAGTTTGCCAGATCTGCGTTTCAGTTATGAGGATGTTACTTTTGTTTCACAACCACACATCTTATCTGTTTGGTAACCATGGCAATTTTAGTTAGGACAACATTTAGGACAAAAGCTATTACAGAATAACATTTTGTTAAGTGTATAATCTTATCTTACCTACAGATAGGAATGGGGGATAACAGAAGCATCTTAACTCCACAAAAAATCCTAAAAACAGTTTTAACTTCAGGACAACCTCAATGGTGTCCTAACTTCACAAGTATTTGAAAGCCAACTATAAAAAAAATCTCATAACAATAGCCCTGTCTGTGAATGCTGTCACATTTATTAATGATACAAGATGAAAAAAATAAATACTGGTATTTAACTAAATTTCCCTTACACACATTACCGTTTTTTACAGAGGTACACTCTACAAGGGCTTGGTTGGGGACCCACTTGACATCTCCTTGCTACAGATTGGAGATGCGTATAAAGACTTCAATATTACCGTGAAACCTCTTGCAGCAACTATGGGCATCAGTGACGAGAAGACCCTTGTTGAGACCGCATTTGGCTTAGCACAAAAGGGGAGTGTGCTCGCTTGCCATGCAGCAGCCTATATTCCCAACAAAGTCAGTCAAGATGCACCAAGATCCTCCACCTTACTCACCGCTACCTCTTGGGGAGTGCAGGCTTGCCCCAACAGAGTGCACAGGAGGAGCACTTCCATCCGAAAAGCTTGATGGTCACTCTGGACATGGCCTATAAGACTGAGGCGGCAACAAGAGAGCAGGCAGCAGACCAGGAGTGGCATCAGCTCTATAGGCATAGGATTACCTGGTGTGTTTTGTGAGGGGAGATAGCTCTGCAGAGTCTCTTACAGAAAGAAGGCAGACTGCTGAGATGAGAAGAGGTGCAGACATGGAGTTTGAGGCGGGAATGGAGTACTGCAGGATGAAAGATGTCAACTACACACCCTGTGGCCTCGTCATCCACCCTGATGCCCCTTGGCTTGGTGCCTCACCAGATGGCTTGATTTTTGATCCAGTTGCACAGCCACCATTTGGACTAGTTGAGATAAAGTGCCCTAATGTAAAGAACTATGTGGACTGTAAATACCTTCGAATGCAGAATGGCACTTTGGCTCTCAGTGAAAGCCACTCGTACTACTGGCAGGTGCAGGTGCAACTGTTGATCACTGGCCTGAAATGGTGCGACTGTGATTTGTGATCAAGGAACAGGCGCAATGATATTACACAGCGCCTGAAAATAGTCCCTAGCTAGGTAACTTCCAACGTGACCGGTACTAAGTTTGTGTAGTTGCAGTTAATATCATTGCGCCTGCTGCACTCATGGTACGGCAGCAAAGTTCCTTGATTATTACCTTGAGGCGGATGGGCTACAACAGCAGAAGACCCCACCGGGTACCACTCATTTCCACTACAAATAGGAAAAAGAGGCTACAATTTGCAAGAGCTCACCAAAATTGGACAGTTGAAGACTGGAAAAATGTTGCCTGGTCTGATGAGTCTCGATTTCTGTTGAGACATTCAGATGGTAGAGTCAGAATTTGGCATTAACAGAATGAAAACATGGATCCATCATGCCTTGTTACCACTGTGCAGGCTGGTGGTGGTGGTGTAATGGTGTGGGGGATGTTTTCTTGGCACACTTTAGGCCCCTTAGTGCCAATTGGGCATGGTTATTAGACATATAGCCTGACAATATATAATACGGCCGCAGATACTGGATGAGGACACATTTTTCTCCAGTTGTGGAGTTTGTTTTCTTTCTTTCTTTCTTTCTTTCTTTCTTTCTTTCTTTCTTTCTTTCTTTCTTTCTTTCTTTCTTTCTTTCTTTCTTTCTTTCTTTCTTTCTTTCTTTCTTTCTTTCTTTCTTTCTACATGGCATCTAACCTGACTAAGGTCTATATGTTAAAACAAAAAGGTTTTGCAGTTTTTCTTGTCAAATGTTTTATTAATCAAAGCATAACAACTGTAGTTAATGCTGTGAAATTAAACACCATAACACAGCTTTAACAGAAATAAAATACAACTCAAATATACAACCTAATAAGAATACAACAGGGAGAAAAAATTAAGGCTAAAATGTAAATTAATAAAATATACATCTGAATACATAACATGTGCCATATTCTCCTAAAAAATAAGTACAACTGGATTTTCTTCCTCCCACATAACCAACACATTCAATAATCATAAGAACTGAATAAATCAGATCTGCAAGGATTTCAGAGGTAACAATAACATGCCACTTTACACATTAGCTCTTGTGCACTAACATTTTAACTAAGAAATCATGATTCATACATTAGTGCGTAATAAAATCTCCTTGTTTCAGGCAAATTATACTAGTTACGAAGACTCACTTCGTCATCAACATTTGAACAAGGGTTAACTAAATGCGTACGCACCAGTTTTCTGTGCAAATTAGACCTATTTTTTTTTTTATCCTTAGTTAGGCATCCTTGTAAACAGTTATTATTTGATTACAAAGACATAAGCTCACAAAGATTACTCAGGAACTCATCATTCTCTTCATTGCCTGAAGTGTTTGAATAACTCTGAAACATCTCGCCTTTGTGTTGATAAACTAATCCCATTATCGCACTGGCTTTCCAATCATTTGGATCATCCTTGATACGTTTCTTGGCGATATTCATCAGTTTCTGTGCACTTTTAGTCCCATTAATAGTTTGTGGAGCCATTGTCAAACACTCCTGGTAGTGCAAAATTGCCAAATCCTCACGTCTGTTACAGTACAGCTGGAACTGAGCAAAATACAAATGGACTACTTGTAGTTGTTCCTTTTTCTCTTTTGCCGTCTTGAATGTTTTGTCAAACAGTTCTTCTGCCTTGCGCAGATTATGACTCTCTCCATATTGTAATGCAAGCTCATTCATTGCAAAGATAAAGGACTCTTTTAGGGATGTTGCCTTTTCTAAATAGTATATTAATTTATTTTGAGCCTTATCTACCTCCACCTTGCTCCTTTTTTCTTTCTGTAAATTAATTTTCTTGGTCTTGTAGCACATTGCCAACTGATGATGTATGAAGCTGGAGTTTGGTGATATTTTAAGTGCTTTCTCCAGCAGTGCAATAGACCGGTCTACAGGTCCTTGATCCCTGAGGAACATTACAACATATCTCATGACATGCGGATGTTCTGGAGACCCATTCAAGGCTTTCTCAACCAATTTCTCAGACTCATTCATCAAGCTCTTGGATAATGACAGCAACTTAAGTCCTAGAAGCACTCCCAGGACATCATCATCTGGGTTGATGTCAATGGCCTTTCTCAGCTGTTTGACTGCAGGTGAATCCACAGTGCAAGACTCGGTGTGAGTACCAGTTTCAGTGCGATACAGAGCAATGGCATAACCAGCGTTCCACTCGCTATTTTCTGGATCCAGTTCCACAGCCTTCTGGAAAACTTCTACGGCTCTGTCATAATACTTGTGAGAGAATTTAAGATAGGCCCATCCTTTCTCACCAAGAACCTCTGGAATGGATGAAAACTCAGTTGGAAATGTTTCATTTATCTTCTTAAGTTTCTTCAGGTAACTTTCACACTCGGTGTAGTTCTTCATGTGGTAGTACACCCAGGCAAAATTTCCATAGGTGACAATGAGAGTTTTGTCACAGTTGTCTCCCAGGTTTTCTTTAATGAGTGTCTCAGAATTCAACAGGTGGGCAAGGGCCTCTTCTTTGAGGTCAAGAAGGAATTTCACAAATCCCAAAGAGCATTGTGCTCGTGCAGCTCCTTCTTCCCTGCCTAGATCCAGCTTGGCCTGTTCTTCAAGTCTGATGACGAGATTACCTGTGTCAACATCGTCCTTTTCAATGCTCCATGTGAAGTGACACTCCAGCTGATCCAGCTTCACTTTTAAACCGTCCAGGATTGAACTGACAAAATAAAATTAATTAGCTAAGTAGGCTGGGGCTAAATTATATTTAATATGAGCTAATATGCTGAAAATATTTAAACATGCTTTCATGATATGCTATAACTAAATTAGACATTTATATCAAATAAACAATAGGCTACATATTTTTCTATTCACTCTATACCTTTATCATGCCCTGAACAAATCTGGGTATATTTAACTACGAAATAGCCATATGGGAATGAATTTAGGGGTGAAATTTAGCTCTAATACTGTAGATACACCAGGACTCATTTATATTTGCATTTGAGTTATACAGTACACATTTATAGAGCTATTAACAATTCACATTGTTTCAAAGCAGATTTGCAGAATTTATTTTTAGGAGTATAATCTAAACAGTATAACTTGACGTTATAGATAAGCTACAATGAGTTTTAAATGCATAAAAGTTGCCCAATCTGATTGCAAACTCTGTTGCATTACCACTTGACAAATGCTCAGATTGAGTTACAGAAATAAAACAGCACTCACCTCATCTCTGACATCCTTTTTCTTTTTCCTTGTAGGAAATGATAGCCTACGCAGTGGTGTTTCACCAGATCAGTAGGCTACGCCCATGCAGCGCCGTATACTTTCAGATGTTATTCCATTGATTCAGTCACACCCATTAATTCTTGACTCAAAGAGTTAACCCTCTATGGTACGCAATATGATATCAATGAGTAAAAAATTATTTGTGGTGTTTTTCTTGCTTAAAATTGAACACTATAACAATAAACATTAATTATTTTTAAATTTAATTAATTTATAAAAGTTTGTTGCCTCGGGGCAACAGTGTACCACAATGGTGTGTGTGTCAGGGTGTGGTGCCGGCAGAAGGTACGGAGAATCAGAAGTTCCAATAGCAATTTAGCAAAGTGTTTACTTACAAATACAACAAACACCAGTACGACAGGCAGAAGGTTCACACACTTGATACAAAGCAGAACGGACAAACACTGACTGAACAGAAATGAACTAGTACATACAAACACAGATGAACACTGGTTAACAGAACACAGGTGAAGCAGATGATGGTGACGAGACAAACAGCTGTGATGGGTGATCAGGTGATGGCCGAAAGTGTGCAGGTGGAAAACTTGAGGGATGCTGGGAAGTGTAGTGTCGTAGAGGTGACAGAGCTGGTGACCGTAACAGAGTGTAAATGCAATTTAGAAAAATAACATTTTTAATGATCATTTTGCCTAAGTTTTTGCTTGAACATGTTAAACATATCTAATTATTTCTGTAATACATTTTCATTTTGCAACTTATAAAGCGTTAAAATATATATTCAACTTACATATTAAAACTAGTGTATGAAATGGCAAATGTAAATTATATAATTGAATTTTCATTTTCATTTTGCCCCAAACGTTGCACAAATGTAATGGAAAATGTAAATTTAAATACAGAAAAATGCATTGTCATTTTACATATTGCATCTCAAATTGAAAATTGCTACCCATATGCTTCCATATTTTTTATATTTTTTCTTCCTTATTTTTTTTTTTTTTTTTTTTAATTAGAATGTATAAAATTCGTACAAACATATACAACTCACAATATGAAAATATGAAACATACGGATATAGGTAGGTGAAACCTATTTATGCCAGGAGTAAAATTGCAAGAATGAAACAAATCAAAGTATTATATATATATATATATATATATATATATATATATATATATATATATATATATATATATATATATATATATATATATATATATATATATATATATATATATTCTTTTTATTATTATTATTGTCTAAAGTATAGTGCCATATTGTCCAACTTTTTGGAATTCATTTATTTAAAAGTAGCCTAAAACAAGACATTTGGAAGAAAAGAAAAAATAGAGGAAAAAATAACATTGTTCCAAACAACCTTGAAATGAAGATATCCATCCAAAATATTCTTGAATATTGGCTGCACATTGAAAGAAATTATGTATCACAGATTTTTTCCCCCAGTGAAACGTTCAAAATAACCCATCAACAAGGTAAATTCTGTATAATGTTTTAAAGGATACCTCTCTATCTTTATTATTAGGGTATAAAAAACTTATCTGACCATAATTTTTCCAATTCATGTTTTCATTTATGACCAAAAGACTGTTGAACACGTCACACATACTCTCCTTTATACTTTACTCTCTCCCTGTGTGGTATACAGTATCATCCGTATTACCTTAATAAAAACGTAAACGAGATTATAAGCTACAAAGCGTAGCATGTTGAAAAAAAGTCTCTTTATCATCATCATCATCATCATCATCATCATCATCATCAGTTCATTGCAATAGCGCCCCACAATGGTCGGTTCCTGAAGCGCAGGGAATTTGATCAGACAACAACACACAGCTTTACCAAGTGCTTCTTTTAAGCAAACCATCAGTTTACTCTGGAATACAATGACAGAAAAAGATCTGATTATAATTCCTCAAAGTTAAACACAAAAGATGTGATGAAGAGACAGCGACTGATTAAATCAATTATGCTAATGAAAGGCGTTATTAGAGGCTCATGCAAGTCCAACTCAGCGTTCACAAACACTGTTACACAGCTTGAATAGGATCTGGGATGTCTGCAAGAGCGATTTTCAGAGGGATAAAATACCTGCAGGTTTTCACATGCTGGATACAGGTAAGTAAAATAAAATAAAAACTACTAATAATAACAGTAACACAAAGAAAGAGTAACAACCGTATGCACTGGTCACAGTATACGTCAGTGTAGCATCTGTTTGTCTGTCAAAAAAATGCTTCAAACAAACTTTAAACTTACTTTATATTTCTTTATTATCATTATTAAATTAGAATATAAACGACGTTGATAATGATTTGTTTGTGTTGGTTCAGTTGGTAGAGGAGATATTTCTACTGGTCTCCTCTCTGAAGGCAGCAGCAGAGGAGAATCACAGGACGATGAACAGACAGAATGAGTCAGTAAGTGTTCACTTTTCCTCACAGTTGTTGTTTTGGGATCAACGACTAGTATCAGAAATATCTTTTCCAGTATGTTACACCTGGAATAGTGGCATGTTATTCATCTTTCACCTTTCTAAGGGCCTATTTATTTCCATTTACACACAGCATCTGTGTCAACACTTTCTGTGAAATACTTCAAACTGAATCAATCGAGGGAAAAATCCCATTGTCTTAAGTATAATAGAAGTAGCTGTAAATAATGTTCAAGCTATTATGAAACACTGTTAGAAAATTATTTTAAATAATTGGACAGCTGCCACTAAATGGTCTTTTTTTCTGACTCCCATAGCATTATATTTTTAATTGTTGTAAGTTTTGCAGATGTTGTGAGTGTTTCCTGTACGTTCAGTGTTTTCAGAGCTGATTTTATCATATATGTATTCTATTTTTTGCATCATAAACTACTTCCTATTGAACTGTCAGCTGTTCCTAAGCTCTGCTGAAGATTATTTCACATAATACTCAGCAGAATGTGTATCTGTGAGTGTGATTATTGCTTATCTGTTCAAACACTGTTAGCTACATTTGGCAACCTTCTTTTAGAAACTTTCACAAAGAGAAAAATAGCCTAGGTCATAACTAAACTAATGTTTTTTTTTTTTTTTTTAGGGTTTAGGTTATCTGGAACTCTTGTCTTGTCACAATATTTCTGAATTTAAGTAAATGTTAACTCAAGATGTACAAAAAAGTTTTTAAAACAGAAAATGTGCATTATAAACCGGCAAATGTGTAGATATTAGAAATGCCACTATGTGGAATAAAAAGTCTTAAAAGACTAAAGGTAAAAGACTTAGGGTACGTTTACACAACAATAATCTACTCAAAGGTTTTTTCTTTGAGTTTTTTTGGCGCACAGACAACAACATTGTCAAAACGATCCCCGTTCACATGGATCTGTGAAAATGATTAAAAATGTGTATTATTCTGCCGGGCCAGTAGTTGGCGACGTCACTTTGTAAAGAAACTGAACACGTAATACACACATGACGTCACTGTTTTCTCAAATTCGCGTTTTTGTAGTTTACACGGAGACGATAATGGTATCGTTTTCAAAAAAGGTTGCGTTTTCAGACCCCAGAGTCGTGTAAATGAAAGGCCAAAACGCATAAAAAAATCTGTTTTTAGTTGAAAATGGTGTCGTGTAAACAACCCCTAAAGTCACAATGAAACCAATCTTTTCTTCGGTGTTGTGACGTACCAAGTTAAACGGATTATCGAGAAAAAAAATAAGAAGAACAAATAGTGCAGTGATTTGGTTCTTAATCGTCATTTGGGGAAGATCCAGTTATGGCACTTTAACTAAAAATTACGAGAACAAAAAAAAAGATTTTTAAAATGAAATTGAAACTTGAATTGTTCATAATAAGATCTATAATAGGCATTTAGGAAATAGATTTGAGGAAATGAATGTGAAAATTGGGAATAAGTTTTTTTTTAAATGTATTACCATTCTTAATCAGCTTTTCTGCAGTTCACTTAAATAGTCCTGCGGCGTGACATGAATTTTTAAAAAGTCTAAATATTCCATATAGCCTCTCAATATGAATATGAACTCATAAAATATGAATGCATAATAACTGAACAAGAATTAGGAAAAAAAAATGTTTTGGAATATGACAGACTGCTTCGCACGTCATATCAACTATCTGATTATGGTAGTTTCACCTGATCTTCAGAAGCCTTGTGGTAAGTCTCCTTACACTGTATCTAGTACCTATATATAGCATTTATATGTGAATGCGTTTTGAAACAGAGAGAGGGAGGATCTCAGCATTAGTGTGTGCGTGTGTACTTGAACACCCTTACTGGCGTGTGTGTGTGTGTTGTTACAGGGAAGTGAAGGCTGTGTTATTAGCGCTGTCTCTCGGAGCTGTGGGCGCTGATGCTCACGGTTTAATTTACAGTCTTTCTTTCTCCTTGCGCTTTCAGTACCCTCTTCAAGACTTTGCAGCCGAGAAGTCTCAAGGTAAGCAGGAAGAAGTGTTGTAACACACGATTATTATTGTCAAGAGAAGTTATAGATGTTTAAAACTTGAGTAAAATGTTCCTGTTTTTGCCAGTACACAATGTACAAAGATAAATTTGGATTCTGTTAACGTAATCATGACCCTTTTGACTGCATCATCCACTGTTATCTTTGCTATTGATGTTCCAAAGTACCGTTAAGCGGTGAACCCTGTGAGAACGGCACTGTTGTTGTCTTATGTGTTTGTTTGTTTGTTGTTTGTGATAGGAGATGATGTGATGAGCCGCAGAAGGGTCTCGGTGAAAGACCTGGGCCAGGGCGACTGTCAGGGCTGGTTGTACAAAAGGAAAGAAAGCAAAGGGCTCTTGGGCTGGAGGTGGAAAAAGTTTTGGTTTGTGCTCAAGAAATGTTCGCTCTACTGGTACACATCCGACACGGTAAGTCGTATGTGTGGTTTTCCCTTGATCATGTGTGGCGTCTCTATGGAAAATGTGAACAAATGTGTTTATGTGTTGAAAGATAATTTATTATCTCGTGTTGGAAATGAGAAGCCTATGGCACAAAGCTGGTTGAACCGACTTTGAGGTTAGTGTTAGCGTCGCTATAAATGTTCTCTGTCAGCTGGGTTGTGTGGGTTTGAACCAGAGTTTAATGATTTGCTCTGGAGCGTTAACAGCTAAGTGCAGTGAACAGCCAATCACGCGAGCAGTTTGATTCATTTCTCATTAAGAGTCTGGACTGTTAACTTGTTACTTGCGAAATATGAAATTTTTCCAATCATTTTAATAGGGGACAATGTATATGTACTGTCCTAATGGAATCCGAGTTTGTATAATATTTTACTGTACCAATGTTTTTTTCATTAACCATTAAACTTGACTTATGAGCCCGTTTCGTGGCGCAGTTTCTCGGTCGCCACAGAATTAAATTAATTAAAGTGACAAGGCGTTGATATATGACGCACTGTCCTAACGAAAGTCAAATTTTTAGCCATTTTTGCTGTATAAACCCTTTTTATGGACCCTTGAACTTGTCAAATAGGACAATGCACAGCTGTATTGCGCCATCAGCCTATTTCACGGCGCAGTTTCTCGCCCGCCACGGAGAATGACTTTAGAGGTATATTAGTCCCTAACTAAAGCCAAATTTTGAGCAAATAGATCTTTATCAATTTCTGCGCATCCATTAGGGGTGGGAATCTTTTACCATCTCACGATTCAATTCGATTCCGATTCTTGAGGCCACGATTCGATTCAAAATCGATTTTCGATTCAAAAAGATTTTCGATTTAAAACGATTCGATTTTATCCATAATGATTTCTAATCGGGTTTCTGATCATGATCTCTCATCTGCTTTGCTATACAGAATGACAAACGGAGACCAGTGTTTCCTCTTTTCCAGCTGTGGTGGCAGGCCCATTTTGCCAGGGGGAGGGGGCGTGGCCCATGAGTGATATTGCCATTGGCCACGCCCCCTTACCCCAGGTGTTTAAACCTCCCCTAAGTATTATAACATTATAACATGAAAGGCTCGAATAAGAGCGGCAAAGCGATTATGCGCATCCCGTGCGCAGAATGATGCACTTGAAGCAAAAACGCTAAGTCACAGCGCGCAGCGCTCCGGATTGAAAAGTTCAAAGCACAAAGCGAAGAGATTATATCTGTCTATCTATGCTTAAAGCTCCAGTCGGCAAGTCTGGCAGATTGAGTGGATTTAGGAAAATTTTGAATGTTTACAACTCTCATGCCCCTCCCCCACTATCAACAGATATCCTCCCACCCAGTTCATGCTCGTCAGTGCGTGTGCACCAGATTTTCAGTGAACGCCAGGGCTCTCAAGTGTCACGCATTGAGCGTGACAGTCACTCATTTCGGTCTTTTGTCACGCTCTCCCGCCACACATTGTATTTCTCACGCTGAAAAACTATTTGTAATATATTTAATATGCCGCAGCGCCCAAAACTCTGGCCGCGCCGCTCTCACTGTGGAACCGGCATGAATCAAGCGCGTTTCCTCTGGTGCGTGTTGTTCGTCGAGCTACACAATAGCCAATCAGAAAATAGCACTATTGTATCTGGGTAAGATTTAACGCAACAACCAATGACAAAAATGTATCCAACCCCCTGTCGGCTGGGTGTCACTCTTACCTGTCTTCAAAACTTGAGAGCCCTGGAACGCGCCCGTCTCATCAGCATCCATCAACACCATGGAGTATTTGGAGGTATGCTGTCCTGGCTAATGTACCGATAGATTGCAATTGCTAACGTCATTTATACTCTAAATGAGCTCACTTGATTTTCCGCCATCACTCTTCGTTACTGCGCGAACTTCCGCGAACTTCAGGCGTGTGCATGTGATTGTAACGTGCGCGAGGGGTGGCGTGTGCCCGATCTGTGATTGACAGTCAGATCTCACACCCCCCTGCGCTGATTGGACCCAATGAACCGGGAGCTGTGGATTTTTGCAAAACAAATAACAAGCTCCAGGTGGAGTTAGAAGCTCGGGGTTTTTTCTAAAACCACTTTATTTATGTTGTTCTGTCAGATTATAGTGTCGATTTCACTGAATATGATCAAAAAAATGTTGCCGACAGCAGCTTTAAAGGCACACTGCGGAACTTTTGGCCACTAGTGGCGCTCGACCTGTAACTTTCACGTCTAGCGTCCCTAGAGGCCACAAGCTCCGCAGCACTGTCGCAAAAGTCAACAAACAGTCAACCGGTCCGCCCATAGACAGTGGGTCAGCTTCCCGTGTCTTTAGATTGTGTGTGCTTGCAGTGTTTGAGGCGGGCAGCCTTGCCGCGCTCGATTCTCTTATAGCAGTCTGCTGGGAGAGAGCGAGCGGGGCGAGCCCCGTGGGGCTTAGTGCTAACATGTCTGTGAGTGAATGTGGGCGCGGGACGGCGGGCCGGGCACATTTACTGCACTAAAAACACCGTCGGCCTGAGCTGACTGTAACTTATGTGTGTTGGTTTCCTTTTACAGAAACCGTGGGACATGTTGTGTGTAGTGTTTGTGGGCACTGAGTCGTGGGAACGTTCACTACATTTAATGTACATTTGACATGAGTCGATTTTATTTGTTCGAGCCCTGCACTGTGGCGGGCTGTGTTTGTGTGTAGAAATGAACAATGGGCTGTGGGCATTTTATTACACTCATAACACCATCGGCTGTGGCCGGAATACCAGAAAATACTACACTACTTATATGATTTATCTGGGTCACCTTGGAAACGGCATTTGTGTGCAGGCAAGCGTTAGCATCGGTCGGGCACCCCTCCTCCTCCTCCTGTAGCTCACGCCAGCGAGCGAACGCTGGACCAATGGTGATCCTCGTCCTGGCTTTTCATTTGTCACTATGCCTTTTTCTTTTTTTTAGTGTCCTCTGACAAAACCTTTGCCTTCTTCCTTGTAGCTGTTGGTTCGGCCATGACGAAAACATACAGACGGCAATCAAACGCGAGTTGAGCACTCACGTCAGAATCTGAGGAAGTTGTGGGTGGTGGGGGAAGTGACGTATGCCGTAAAGCGGTCGAATTTTGTAGTTCTTTTTGTGCTTGGGTTCCTACCCGAACCCCGAAGTTACATAGTGCTAGTAAAAGCGATACAGACACCTTCAGGCTATGGCAGACGTGTCATTCAACCTATTGTAAGTCGATGTACCATCTCAATGGGTTTTGGTAATATATTATAAAGGTTGAAAAGTTCCACAGTGTGCCTTTAATGTATTATATATTTGCAACAGTTTATTGAGCATTTTCTTTTAACAGTTTTAAATTTCAGTTACAGTGTGGATGAAGAACAATTCATAGCGCTCTCCAGTGCTGTAATCTAACAGACACCCGGGAGAAAGGATTATGATTTAAAAAACGCTATAACGCGACGCGTGTGAGTGCTGAATGGAGAATGACTGAGGAGAGACGAGTTTCCATTAACTTTAACTAACGACTTAAATATTCATTTTTACCTCACATTATGCTATTGAATGACTTTAGAAGTCTTGGAATATAGTGCGAACACTTTATGGTGCTTTACAATGTTTTTTTATGCCTTAGCTTAACAATAACACAATAGGCTAGTATGCACATTAATATCGGACCTCACTGAGAAGCTTGGCGGGATTATTTTAGGTGTGGCGGCCCGCCACGGCAGAATGAATGTAGAAGCATCATATTTAGAAGCATCAGAAGCTCTATAAAAGCATCCATATTTGCTTCCTCTGATTTGCCGCTCACGTTCAAAAACCGGCTGCGTGCATGACGTCCGGACGTCCTGTATGCTATAGTTACAAAAATGGAGGCGAACAGCCAGCTGATTTTATTTATTTATTAAATCGATTCTTGGACATTTCAGATCGATTCTGAATCGTTGCAAATGAGAATCTAGATTCTTCTGTGAATCGATTTTTTGGCACACCCCTAGCATCCATACTCTCATTTTTTTTTATAGTAAAATGGCAGTGACGCACAAAGGAAATATGTAATAGATAGTATACAAAATGGAAATTGTAAAGCGAGCACACAAAATAAATCCTGTGTTCACGTGAAAAGTTTCTCGCACAATAGTTTCTTGTGAACACGTGAAAGTCTGTATATAATTTTTTTTGTTTTGTTGCAAAGGTCCCCTTATGGGGTCTGTAAAAAGGACTATGTCTTACTGTTTTTACCGAATACACAGTTTTTTTAGAGGTCATTTAGTGAAAAAGAACATGGAGCCATTTTGAAATCATATAGAAAAAACTGACTGGCACTCTGTGACATCATCAAAAGGCACCCCGAATGTTTTGGTCATTCAGTGCAATGCAAATTCTGTTATACCATAGTTTAATCTATTACACTGAATGACAGTATCACTGTCTAGATAACAATGTAAGCATCTGATTTGTATTACAGATAAATAGCACTGGCAAATGTTACATTTTAATAAATATGACTATTTTAGTGCATTTTTATTTTGTTTTATTTGTGTTATTGATTTATTTTAGATGCCCTTGAACAGAGAGTTGCTAGACACTGTAAAATGGCAAAAAGTAAATGCAAATCAAGCAGCTTAAGGGCTCTAAAGAATTTTAGAACCATATCTTTAGCGTTATAGTTATCGTTCGTACTTGGTGTGAACGGGCCTTTAGCAAGCAAATGAGAAAGGTATTGAGGATTGCAAATGTCAGAATAATAGCTTATTAATATTTCTGAACAGAGTTGCCCCGGCCCTCACTACGGCATTTCACAAGTTCAAGAAAGGCCATTGAGGGGATTCTCCAGCCAAAATACCCATCTTATTAATGTCATTATGTTGTCGTATTCATAAATATAGCTTTTTTTTTTTTAAATAGGATCTTTTAATAGCATATCTTGTTTTAAATATGCCTGATAAGACCTCTTTTCGTCTTTGACACAAAATTCTTGCACTGTGAAGCTCTTAACTTTGGAGCAACATTGGGGTGACTTTGAAGAGACGACTCAACGCCTGCGAAGAGACGACTCAACGCCTGCGAAGAGACGACTCAACGCCGGCGATATGTTATCCCCTTAATATTACATGATTAACTAAATGTATTTTTTCCAGGTACTTTCTGATATGCACTTACTGTAAAGCTTCTTTGAAACCCTATGATTGTTAGCCAGAGGAGAACTGGCCCCTGACTAGCCTGGGTTCTCCCAAGGTTTTTTTCTCCATCCAATCTGATGGAGTTTTGGTTCCTTGCCACTGTCGCCTTGCTTTTGGCTTGCTTAGTTGGGGATATTTAATATTCAACAATATTATTGAACTGTGTTGTACTACTTTCATGTTATCACTGTGAAGCTGCTTTGATGCAATCTGTATTGTGAAAAGCGCTATATAAATAAATGTGACTTGACTTGACTTGACTTTATTGCATCAGAGAAATGTATTTTTGCTCACAGCTGATTGGTTCAATTTTGGTTTGCAATCTTTTACCCAAAATAAAACCTGTTCCAGAGCAAGGCTACATTTCTCAAAAGTATAGCTATCTTAAGTAGATACCATTGGTGCCAGTGGTTTCTACGATGTACTTGGTTTTACGATGCTTTTAGAAAGCGCAGCCCTTTTCTAGAGATAAATGATCTCCACTTCCTTTTTAGGCAGAGAAGGCCGAAGGCTACATCAACATGAGGGACTTCATCGTAGAACAAGCTACCGAATGCAAGAAGAAGTTGTGAGTTTGTCTTCCTTATTTAGATTTTTGACTGCTTGTGGTTTGACAAAAAAAACCTGACCTAGCAACACGAGATGCCTATTTGCATCGTGTCAATGCATCTTATCTGTCTTTCTGAAATTACTTCATGTTGGATGGTTAGTGCAGTTTGCTATATATGGTTATATATTGCTCATACTTGGCAACATATAATACTTGGTCAAATCCCTAACCACAAGTATTACTCTGGTGCGAAACTCGCCCCTTGCACATTAATTATACCTTAAAATATGTGGCTTGTTAAGGAGAGGCGTATAATTTTTTTTTTGAATGATTTATGCTTTTTACCTGGCGATGATATAATGAACAGAATATCATAGAGATGGTGAGCTGTTTTCACCTGGGCAAGTAAGCAATCTCCTACCAACAATATAGCAATGCCATAGGAACCACCTAGTGACGCCTTAAGCCTAGTTCACACTACAGGATTATAAGCCCGATTTAAGCCCGATTTGCAAATCGTTGAGCTCGCCGACAGGTCAGGGTGTTATCGCGTGCAAATCGCGGGGGATTAGCGAACGATGGACGCTCGCCAATCTGTTAGTATGAAAGAGCCAACAACGCATCAAAGACGCTCGCTGACGCCTCGCAGACGCGTCGCCGAGCCCAGAAAAATATCTAGCATGCTAGATATCCAGAGCTGTCGCCCGACTCAACCTCAGTAATGTCGTGAGCTACAGCCAATCAGAGCAAGGCATGGGTTGCTCCAATCAGAGCAAGGCATGGGTCTTTGTCTTCTTCGCTGGGTATTAGCGCGCGTGCTGTTTTGCGTCATTTCCGGCTTGTTTTATCGCGTGATTTTTTGTGACAAAACGTGGTTTGTAGACAAGATAGAATCGTTGGGTGACAGAGTTGTTGTCAACTCGTGTAGTGCGTTACCTCCTGTTGCGGATCAATCACGTTGTGTCGTGTGGTGTGAACAGCTCAACAACTTGAACACTCCTGATTTCACAGAGAGCAAGTCATGTAGTGTGAACCGCACAGTTCAGCCCGACGTTTTAAAATCATGTAGTGTGAACTAGGCTTTAACCACACAGAATAGCGTTGCAGCATTAGAAACACATTTAAAAATACTCACCTTAGGAACCACCTAGCAACGCCTTAACAACGACCCAGAATAGCATAGCAGCTTTAACAAAACATAAAAAAAAATTCTCAGATCACCTTAGGAACCGCCTAGCAACGCCTTAACAACCACCCAGAATACCGTAGCAGCATTAGAAACATATTTAAAAACACTCAGACCACCTTAGGAACCACCTAGCAACGCCTTAACAACGACCCAGAATAGCGTAGCAGCATTAGAAACACATTTAAAAACACTCAGACCACCTTAGGAGCCACCTAGAAACGTCTTAACAACGACCCAGAATAGCGTAGCAGCTTTAACAAAACATTAAAAAAATACTCCGACCACCTTAGGAACCACCTAGCAACGGCTTAACAACGACTCAGAATAGCATAGCAGCTTTAACAAAACATTTAAAAAAATACTCAGATCACCTTAGGAACCACCTAGCAACGCCTTAACAACCACCCAGAATACTGTAGCAGCATTAGAAACACATTTAAAAACACTCAGACCACCTTAGGAACCACCTAGAAACGTCTTAACAACGACCCAGAATAGCGTAGCAGCATTAGAAACACATTTAAAAACACTCAGACCACCTTAGGAACCGCCTAGCAACGTCTTAACAACCACTCAGAATACGTAGCAGCATTAGAAACACATTTAAAAACACTCAGACCACCTTAGGAACCACCTAGCAACGTCTTAACAACCACCCAGAATACGTAGCAGCCTTAGAAACACATTTAAAAACACTCAGACCACCTTAGGAACCACCTAGAAACGTCTTAACAACGACCCAGAATAGCGTAGCAGCATTAGAAACACATTTAAAAACACTCAGACCACCTTAGGAACCACCTAGCAACGTCTTAACAACCACCCAGAATACGTAGCAGCCTTAGAAACACATTTAAAAACACTCAGACCACCTTAGGAACCACCTAGAAACGTCTTAACAACGACCCAGAATAGCGTAGCAGCATTAGAAACACATTTAAAAACACTCAGACCACCTTAGGAACCACCTAGCAACGCCTTAACAACAACCCAGAATACGTAGCAGCATTAGAAACACATTTAAAAACACTCAGACCACCTTAGGAACCACCTAGCAACGTCTTAACAACCACTCAGAATACGTAGCAGCATTAGAAACACATTTAAAAACACTCAGACCACCTTAGGAACCACCTAGCAACGTCTTAACAACCACCCAGAATACGTAGCAGCCTTAGAAACACATTTAAAAACACTCAGACCACCTTAGGAACCACCTAGAAACGTCTTAACAACGACCCAGAATAGCGTAGCAGCATTAGAAACACATTTAAAAACACTCAGACCACCTTAGGAACCACCTAGCAACGTCTTAACAACCACCCAGAATACGTAGCAGCCTTAGAAACACATTTAAAAACACTCAGACCACCTTAGGAACCACCTAGAAACGTCTTAACAACGACCCAGAATAGCGTAGCAGCATTAGAAACACATTTAAAAACACTCAGACCACCTTAGGAACCACCTAGCAACGCCTTAACAACAACCCAGAATACGTAGCAGCATTAGAAACACATTTAAAAACACTCAGACCACCTTAGGAACCACCTAGAAACGTCTTAACAACGACCCAGAATAGCGTAGCAGCATTAGAAACACATTTAAAAACACTCAGACCATCTTAGGAACCACCTAGCAACGTCTTAACAACCACCCAGAATAGGTAGCAGCATTAGAAACACATTTAAAAACACTCAGACCACCTTAGGAACCACCTAGAAACGTCTTAACAACGACCCAGAATAGCGTAGCAGCATTAGAAACACATTTAAAAACACTCAGACCACCTTAGGAACCACCTAGCAACGCCTTAACAACAACCCAGAATACTGTAGCAGCAATGATAACACATTTAAAAACACTCAAACCACCTTAGGAACCAACTAGCAACCACATACAACTCCCAATCAGCTTCAGAGACACTCCTTGTCATCCACACAGAACATCTTAGCAACATCCTACACCCCATCGAGAACCCACTCGAAATAGACTATCAAACCTCGTAGCGACACCATAGCAACAACTTAGCAGTGCTTTAACAACCAACTAACATTGTCCTAGAAACCACCCAGACCACTCTAGTAATCGCAAAAAAACCCCACCCTGGCAACTACTCAGAACATCATAGTTAAAATAGTTATGGGGTTGTCATTTGACTGTTGCATTTAGAACATGTGGTCTCAAGCTATAAATCAGAATTGTTTTGCACTGGAAGTGTGTCATCTGTACCCCACTTAATGTGCGTTCAGAGCAGACAGTTTCCTGAGTTATAAATGTGTGGTCTGAACCGCTGTCTAGAGACTTCCTTCTTAAAGACATACAGTGATGTTGCTTTACTTTGATAACAATAATTGAATGTAGATAAGACCGAAGACAAACTTTGGTGTCAAATACATGTCCGTTTTTGTGTAATGCTTCCACTACACCACACATCCCCAAATACAGTATATCAGCCTTGAGAACTGCTGGGGTTGTGTATGTTTTCATTTGTGTTCACTTATGTCTTCTTTTCCAGTGCAATGAAAGCAAGCCACCTCCACATGGTGACACTCTACTTTGCAGCTGAAAGCTTGAAAGACATGAACAAGTGAGTGAATTTTTGGTCTGGTGGTGACATGTTTGCACTGCAGTCAGTGTGACAGGCTTTGACACCTAGCTGTGACAAGCTCTCTGCTGCACGTTTGATGAAGGTTTGCAAACACGGGGTTTTGCAGACCTCCAGTGCTAAAAATACAGCATGGTCTCCGCAACTGAGCTTTATCTGATATAATGTGTCCAAAGTTCTGCAAACTATTGAAGTATTTTATCAAATATTACACTTAAGGGTGCTTTCACACTTGGTTTGATTGCCTGGTCCAAACCCGAGTTTGATTGCATTCAATTTGATTGCGGAAATCTGCATTCACCAGTGCTAGTGTGAAAACATCCTAATAGAGCAGTTCACACATACTTATTTTTTACCGAAACGTTCATGTTCCTGTGCGAAACCCGTCTCTCGGCCAGTTCTCAGCAAACTGGAGCCTATTGTGAACTGGCCACGAGTTTCCACAGACTTAAGAAACAAACGATGACGTAACGGGGTTCTTTGCTACATGTTGTTTATCGGACTACGTAACCAGTTCAAAAACCAATATGGCCCATCAGGGTGTTTGTGTACATCAGGGTTGGGTTGCACCAGCCGTTCGTAAGTTCTTTCTTAAATTGTAACGTAAAGTCCACACTAGAGGCTTAGTAACTACTAGCTAGTTTGTAACTAACTCTGTTCTTTATTCCGTTGCACCATTTGTTCGTAAGGTAGAACGTATCTAGCAGGTCATAAACTCTCCGTAAAGTAATGTGTAGTCGCATAATATGACGTTTAACCTCGATGAACCAATAGTCAGCCTTCAAATACGTGTGCAGAAGTTGTATTGAAATGCCGTGAATTTCAGTTTATCCTTCATTCTAACTTCTTTTGCCTCACGTTACTAATGGTAAAAATAAGTTTCTATTTAATACGATACTTGACTGATGACTGATATTTGACATGCACAACATGGACCGATGCACACAGCGGCGCTGTTTAAGACGGGTTCGTGTTAAAGAGCTGCTAACAAAGTAATCTTTTCACTTAATGTTCTCTTTCTTAAAATGTAAGCGAGTGTAAATGTCAGCATTATCATATGTATAAAGAATTGAAGTCTTTCAGGTAAAAGAAGAGCTTATTGATGCAGTTCAGTCCATCTGATATTTTATTCCAACCTTTACTCCTGATTAGAGGCTGCCATAAATATTTAGTTGGAACGTAGAGTTACGTTTAAACTAAGTTTAATGGTGCAACGTAAAAATATTTAGTAGTGCGTAAGTTGTAATTTAGTGCCCATTTACGTCAAAACTAGGCTAAGTTGTAACTTACGCACAGCTGGTGCAACCGGCACCTGTTGCTTATGTTTTAGAGAACGTATTTGAATATAAGCCTGCGTTGAGCTATCTAGTTTGTCTTGGATCTCCGGTGAAGACCAATTAGACCGTAGAGTGCATGTTTCCTCCGCACACACCACTGCTGAACAGAAATGTGTCTTTTTCCGATAAAGTTGAAACTCGCAAGAGATGTTAGCACAGTAGCTACACTGTAAAAAAAACTATTGTTGGTTTTAACTTAAAATAAGTTACATGGTTGCCTTACAATTTTGAGTTCATTGAAATTAAAAATTTGAGTGAAAATTGAGTTTCTGTTGATTAAACCAATCTCCTTCATTGTATTATGATTACCGTATGTTATCTATACCACATTAATTATCTAAGTTGATTTGACAAAAGAAAATAAAAGGTTTTTTTTATAGTGTAGGAACCAGAAACTGTTTTTCTTCAGAAAACTTTGTGACGCTACATTTCTCCGTCCCCTACGTCACTAGTTCTGGGCAGAGCCATAGAGAGAAAGAGTTGCGACACGCTTTGATGTCGCCGCGACGGCTGTCACGTGGTTCATGTAAGCCCCATTAGTTCCAAAACATACGCGGGCTGTCATGTTCTTCTATGGACAGACAGCAGTGATTGCATTATTAAACGGTAGATATAAAATAAAACACACACCCAAGTAGTTTTTAAGCTGTTATTGCATTTTGTTAATGTCAGTTTTGCATTTGGAGAGGCAGGGTGACAACTTAGATAAGTTTTAGGCTATATTTTTAGTGTTCATGTTCGCATGGGTAGTACCACTGGCTTTAGCGGCTCTAACTTAACTTTTCCATGTCATTCATCTGATGATGGACGTCTCATGATATTTATTTTAGCACAACTGGGCTGTATTAGGCTATTGATTCCCGTGATCTTGCTTATAAATTCCGATTCCGCCATTAGCCTACTTTCGTGATCACGCAAAGAGGTCTGCAGTCCGTTCAGAACTCCAACCAACATAAAATATAAATAATTACGCTGTGCATGTACAAATGAATGATTTAGGAGGGAAATAGACTGCTCCCATAACGTAGAAAGCAACGACTATATACAGCAATGTTCGGTAAATATTCAACCGAAAAATATTCTTCATAAAATTAAACCGGAGAGATAGTTAATGAGTGATTTAACTATGTTCCTAAATACATATAAGCACATATATGCATAAACCTAACCCATTTAATTAAATGAATTGTGTGTGTGTGTGTGTATGTGTATATATATATAATATTATATATAGGCTATATATATAGATATACATACATATAAAATATTATATACATCAGGTTACCGTAAGTTAGCTAACGTTAGTGAAGTGTTGGTCACGTAAGCTATCGCTGCAATTAACCTATCTTCCAAAAAACATTTACTAAAACTGGCTACATAAAATATAACTACAGACTAGATTCACGAGAGGTCGGCTAATGTGTGTAAAAGTAAAAAAATACAGTAATTTCATTAATTTACCAGCGAACGTACTTCGGAAGCACTGAAAATGAATGGGGTTCAATGCTGGAACTATCAGTGTTTGGGACTATTGGCTGCTCCACGACACGCGTTACTTCCGCATTCCAGAGTTCCTATGGCGGTCTATGGGAGTGTCGCAACTCTCTCTCTCTCTATGGCTCTGGTTCTGGGGTTCCAGTCCAGCTTGAATTAAGTTTTTAGGGCTGGGGTGGAAATGCACGGATCAGTTCGAAAACGGACACAGGCCGGGAACCAATTTCTTAAAAAAAAAAATGACCACAGACTTTTGAAAGATAGTGTGTGTAAGAAATTCTCTCCCAGATAATGCTGTAAACTATACTGAGGACCTTCTAACTTGCAACATTCCAAAAATATAATTTTTAATAAATACAGTAACAGCACTAGTGGTGATTCTTCCAAATCAGAGATGCAATGTTCGACCGGCCACTGACCGGAATCGGACGATTTTCCGCATGATCGGCTTGACCGGTAACCGAACGGTCAGTCTCACCTCTTTTTCCTATTATAAGCCGGTCCGTTTTGTTGCCAGCGGCAAAATGAGTGGCTTACTGCGCTTAAACCGAAGCCGGAAATGCACATCTTGGCGAGTATTCAGTTAAACACAGTTGTGTAACAGTATATTGGATCTGTGCATAAACTCTTAAAGTGACAGCAGCCTAATAAACCTGCTGCTGTCCGTCATGTTAATCAAAGAAGAGAAAATCACTCGAATCTCTTGACTTGAGTAACTTTTGTAACTAATTGTAAGCATTAATCTTCATTTAGTTTTTTCAATGAAGACTATTCAGTGTTATTTTACATTTGATTACTTTAAATTCTGTAATATTTCTTACCTGAATATACCGTATACCCTCCTGAAAAACTTAAAGCTGTGTTTATTTAATATCTCTCTTTATTCAATTGCATGCATTTATGCTGTTGTTTGAAATCAATTTGTTCTTATTTTATTACTGTCTTTTTACTTGTTTTTTTTATGAAAATAAAATGTTGCATTGATTAAAAGTAGATTTCTGTTTGCATATGCTGTCAATTATAGTTATTTGAAAGAAAATCTGAATCGGCAGGTCACATTTACAAAAAAAAAGAAAAGAAACGGAAATCAGAATTAACCAAGAAAATTGCAATCGGTGCATATCTATTCAAAATATCTCCTTTTGTGTTGCATGGAAGGAAAAAAACATTTTTTTTGGTTTTGGTTTTGAATGAGACAAGTGTGAGAAAATGTTGACAGAAATATATATTTTTTTTCTTGTAAAACTTTCCTGTAAGGCTGTGTTGAAACATAAATAAACCTGTGAGTGGAAAACATTGAGAGAAAGCTGTGGGTGTGCTGCCATTAAACTGTGGGCAGAGGACACATAATGATCCATTACAATCATTCCACCCATCTGATAAGTGTAGGTTTACTGTAATTAATGTTTTTTTTTTTTTTACCTAGATGGCTGGCTAAACTCACCCAGGCTTCAAATGAACCTGAACCCACAGACTCTACGAACGGAGGTAAAGATTCACACCACACATGCCTACGGAAGCCTAGTTAACACTGAGAGTCCAATTCAGCACGTCTTTCAGCAAAGCCAAACCTGACACTTTAATGGCTGAGTTGTCATACTGAGACTGTGATTGTGTGAATATAGAGTGCTACAGTGAGGAGAGCGATGATGATGATGAAGCTGAGGTGTCTGTGGAGGACACGGATCAGCTGACCCCCGGCTCTCTGCATGTGAGTAACCACACTTTATCCAGACATGCTAATACTAATAGCTTGCTAACCGCAAGTATTAAACTCCAGCATTTAAATCCTCTATTCTTTGCCATTTATATGTGATGTGATTGTGAAAATGGCTGAAGCAATGGTGCATTTCCACATGCACTACCATAAAAAAATTAGGGTCCAATTCTTTATTTATTTATTCAGAAACAACATTAAATTCATCAAAAGTGACCGTAAAGACATTTATAATGTTGCTAAAGATTTATATATTTAATTGTGCTTCCAAAATAAAAGTTTGTGTTTACATAATATATGTGTGTGTGCTGTATAATTATTAAATATATACACACACATGCATGTATATATTTAAGAAAAATTTGTTATTTATATATAAAATATTAATATTTATATATAATATTGTGTATAAAGATATATATACACTATGTGTATATATATATATATATATATATATGCACTTTTTTATATATATACATGCATATGTGTGTATTTATATATACAAAATGATTATACACAGCACACACACATATATTATGTAAACACAAACTTTTATTTTGGATGCGATTTATCGTTTCCCAGCACTAATTTCGAATTAATGCTGTTCTTTTGATCTCTCTCTATTCATCGAAGAATCCTGAAAAAAAATGAATCATGGTTTCCACAAACATATAAAACAGGATGAGTCATTGATAATAATAAATGTTTCTTGATTATATTAACAAATCAGCATATTAGAATGATTTCTGAAGGATCATGTGACCCCCTAAGACTGGAGTAATGATGCTGAAAATTCAGCTCTCCATCAGAGGAATAAATTCTATTTTATAAAATATTAAAATGGAAAAAAATGTTTTTTAAATTGCAATATTTCTCATTATTACTGTTTTTACTGTATTTTGATCAAGTAAAAGCAATAAATAGGACACACACACACATTACTGAAGTCACTGTGGTGGGCAGTAGGGGAACACACTGAGGTCACACACACACACACAAACACACACACACAAACACACACTTACCTGCTGTCTCTCATGCTGTGGCACACACACACACGTATCTGGCAGCCAGTGTTGCTGTCTGTCCCTCTCCTAGTAAGATCTTTATCTGACTACTTCAGTCATGGCTGTAAAGTTCTGTATTAAGTTATTAAGTTTATTAAAGTAGAGGTCTCTGACTGAGCTGTATTTGTGACCGTGAAGGAGGAAGTGTGTCTCGATCTCTCCTGTCCTAAACTGAACACACACCCTTTTCTCTCTCTCTCTCTCTCTCTCTCTCTCTCTCTCTCTCTCTCTCTCTCTCTCTCTCTCTCTCTCTCTCTCTCTCTCTCTCTCTCTCTCTCTCTCTCTCTCTCTCTCTCTCTCTCATATCTATATATATTTTTTTTTGTCATATTGTCACCCAAGTTTCTGTTTTGAAATAGTATTTCTTTGAGGTTTTGAAAGATTGCTGTTATAATTGAAGTGTATTTGTGTGTGTATGTCTCAGGGTTGTCTCCCGCCTCCCCGCTCCTCTTCCTCTCCATGTCACCGCACAGAGACTCAGAGCGCAGACAGTGAGTCGTGGCACGAGATCAGCGCAGAGGACGACCCCATCCTCAAAATACAGGAGTTCAAAGGAAACGACAGTGAGTGAGCGCTGGAATGAGATGTTTTATCCTTAGAAATGCAAATCCAAATCAAAAACAGTTTAAAGAGATAGTTTACAATTGTTATAATTGACCCATTCGCTCAGCTTCCAAACACATTAAGATATTTCGAATAAGACCTGAGAGATTTCTGTTCCTCCATTGAAAGTCTATTCCAAAAGAAATCCATATGAATAACGGTTTAATCCAAGTGTTCTGGAGAGACAACAGGTTGAGTTACTGTTGACCAGTTTTGATGCTCTATTTGTCAAGAATCAGCTTAAACATAGACCACAAAACATGTTCTACAGATTTTTCTGCCATATCTTTTTTTAAAGGGTTCATGACATGAGATTTGAGTGGAAGAACGTTCACTTTGATGCATCCAGTCTAAACGGCTTGTTTGCTCATTTCTGTAGAGACTTCAGAAGGATCCCAGCATTAGGAACAAGTGTATGGTTTATTTCAATGGCGTCCCGGATGGCGTCTGATAATTCTATGTTTGTTCGGAGCATTTTGTTTTGTAACCGAGGCATAGTGTATTTGAGAGTTTGCAAAGAATCTTTTGTTGAAGCAGTCAGTTGTTTTAGATCTGACAGCAGCTCCATCACAAACCGTTAGTAAATTATGTCATAATGCGTTGTCTGTAAAGTATGTTTCTATATAAATGTTTTCAGAAATCGTTCTCGAGCCGCCAGGCACTGTTGAGTGTTTTCTGTTAGAACGGCGTCGTGCGATTGCGGCCCTTAAGTTAAAGGATTAGTTCACTTTTAAAAAAACTTTTGCTGATAATTTACTCACCCCCATGTCATCCAAGATGTCCATGTCTTTCTTTCTTCAGTCGAAAAGAAATTAAGGTTTTTGATGAAAACATTCCAGGATTTTTCTCCATATAATGCACTTTGCTGGGCACCAAACGGTCCAAGGTCCAAAAGACAGTTTCAGTGCAAACTGCAAACTGTTCAAATGGCTTTAAACGACTCCAGACGATGAATAAGGGTCTTATCAAGCGAAACGATCGCTCATTTAAAAAAGAAATAACAAAGTTTAAGTTTTATAAGCTCAAATGCTCGCCTTGCTCTGTTCTGTGTGACTCTCCTGTTCGAACTCGTTCATCAAAATGAACGAATCTTTTTCCGAGTCAATTCGTTCATTTCGTTCGTTAAATTAACCAAATGACTCGAAAAAAGATTTGTTCATTTTGATGAACGAGTTCGAACAGGATAGTCACGAACGTGCATCACAGAACAGAGCAAGGCGAGCATTTGAGCTTATAAAACTTAAACTTTGTTATTTATTTTTGAAATGACCGATCGTTTCACTTGATAAGACCCTTATTCATCGTCTGGAATCGTTTAAAGACCTTTGAACAGTTTGCAGGTTGCACTGAAACTGTCTTTTGGACCTTGAACCGTTTGGTAGCCAGTAAAGTGCATTATATGGAGAAAAATCCTGGAATGTTTTCATCAAAAACCTTAATTTCTTTTCGACTGAAGAAAGAAAGACATGGACATCTTGGATGACATGGGGGTGAGTAAATTATCAGCAAAAGTTTTTTTAAAAGTAAACTAATCCTTTAATAACTAATGATCTTTGCAACGGAAGTGAATCGATCAAAGCTAACTTTAGCTGGACAATAACTTTATTCTAGAGCTGCTGTAAAGCCAAAACAATCTCTGTTACTGTAATTTCATATTATCATTGCAAAGCTGCTTTGAAACAGGCCATATTGTTAAAAGCGCTATATAAATGAATGTGACTTGACTTGACTCGACTTGTGTGTAATAGCAAGTGGGCGTTGATACCATTTCTTATGCAATGACGTTAGCCAATCATAACCGTGGCCGCCGTTTACTGACAAGCCTTAAAGGAGCAGCACCTTAAAAACAGATCATTTCAGACAAGGGGGCAGAATGAGGGTTGAAAATAATGTTTTTTGTGTGCAAAAGAACGTCATTAATAAGTGAACCTCAAAGAACATATTAAATAATCAAAAACAAAATCCATGTCATGACCCTTTAAAAATACCAAGAATTCCCCAATTCTTTTTTTTTTTACTAAAATGTTCTTAACATTATGTGAATATCTCTGAACATAAGAAAATAGCAAAAAATAATTTTAATTATACTCAACTCGAAATTGTCTCTATAAAATCCTTATCCAGCTACTGTGACCTCCTGGAAGAGTCATGGGAAAGTCATTGCTGAAAAAGTGTGGTAATCCTGTAAATGGTTTGGTGTGTAATACTCGTGTGATATTGTTTCATCAGGCGCCCCGTCCGATGAGATGGAGATGCTGTATCTTCACCTCAAGCAAGCGAGTCTGTCGCCCACAGGAGCCCTGCAGCCGAGCACCAAACGTGACTTCAGGTCCTCCTTCATTAGACGCTGCAAAGATGAGAGCGTCAATGACAAACTGCACCTCATTCGAGCTTTAAACAGCACTTTAAAGGTGAGATTGTGCTCGGATTGTGTGTCCTCCTAAAAGGGTCAATCTCAATGCTGATGAATTTGCAGGGAACCTATAAAACTGCTCGAGTTATCTAGATTCAGTCGTGTTGTTCCTTTAATAAGCCAGACGGGGTTTTTTTTCTTTTTCTTTTTTCAAAAAATGGCTTCTTGATGTTGTTGCTTCATAACATAATTGCAAAACATTGTTTAGAAGAAGGTTTATTTGCCAAATGCTTCTGAACAACACTAAAATCGAATGGATGTTAGATTCAATATGGAACATGTCTGTCATAAAACCGGTTACTATTGTAACATTGTGACGTTTTAGTAATGATCATGGCTTGTAGTTGTAAAGTATGTCATTTACGTTGTCCTCTTTTCGTAGTGCTGTTTTTTCTAATTCGATATTTGACTTCCTCTATATACCAAGAGAAGGCTAGTTGACTTGCACATTCTGTAAATGTGTTTAGTCAGAGGCAGACGGTTGGCCTGTCCAAACACCCACACTTTCGCCACTCGAGAGCCCATGTGCGCGACAGGAAGTGAGTGTGCAAGACTGTCCCAGGGCCAAAAAGTGCAGTGCATTTAACACACTAAAACCACACTCTTTAATAACGCTTCAGAGAGGTATTTGACGCTAAGCGTTATCCCATCATTCATCACGATCAGGAACTTGTGTGCACCGATTTTGTCTAGGAACACTTTCCAGTGCAAGTTAAATTATTTGAATATTACATTCAACTTGGCAGTAAAGTGTTGGAAATTATTATTTTCATAAATGAGTGTAAAATTGTGTCAAATGTTTTTGATTGATTTTTATCACTTAATTAGAAGCCCACAATTAAATTGTGTTTGTTATATAGGGACTGAACAGACATTTAAAGGTTTGATCAAAATGTGTAAATAAAGCTCTTGCATTTTTATAATACTATGTTGTAAGTGTGTCCCATCAGGTAATCAGAAGTTCTACTTACTTGCAGACTTTGCACCCACTTGAACACTTATATTGAGTCTACTTGACCACTGCCAAATACAGTGGTCAAGTGCAAAGGCCACAAGTGGGACAGGTTTTCTATTTTAATATACTTTAAAATATAATGTATTTCTGTGTGTGGCAAAGCTGAACTTTCAGCATCATTACATTAGTCTTCAATGTCACATGGTCCTTCAGAAAACATTCTAATATGCTGATTTAATACTTGGTTGGAAACAGTTGTGCTGCTTAATATATATATATTTTTTTTTTGGAAACTGTGATACTTTTTTCAGGATTCATTGATGAATAAAAAGTTAAAAAGAACAGTATTTATGCAAAATAGAATTTTTTTCTAACAATATAAATGTTTACCATCACTTGTTATCAATTTAACGCATCCTTGATTTTTTTTGTCGTTTTATTAGGTTTTTATTTATCATAATTCTATGATATTCTATGATATTTTATTTTTCATTATTCTATGATAATTGTATCATTAGAAAGCACCCCTGAAGGTTAATACAATTCTTAAAATATATATATATATATATATATATATATATACACTACCGTTCAAAAGTTTGGGGTCGGTACGATTTTAAATACTTTTAAAAGAATTCTCTTCTGCTAACCATGGCTGCGCTTATTTGATTAAAAATACAACAAAAATCAGTTATAGTATTAAATATTATTCCAGTGTAAATCAGCTGTTTTCTGTGTGAATATATAGTAAAGTGTAATTTATTCCTGTGATCAAAGCTGAATTTTCAGCATCACCAGTGTCAGTGTCTTCAGTGTCAAATGATCCTTCACAAATCAGTATAATATGAGGATTTGATGCTCAAGAAACATTTATTATTATTATTATCAATGTTGAAACAGTTGTTGGTCTGTCAGTTGTACAGTTTTTATTTTTTTTTATTTTTTTATGATTCTTTGATGAATAGGAAGTTCAAAAGAACAGCATTTGTTTGAAATAGAATCTTTTGTAACATTATAAATGTCTTTACTGTCCTTGATAAATAAAAGTATTGATTTCTTTCCTCCAAAAAATAAAAATAAAATTCTCACTGACCCCAAACTTTTGAACGGTAGTGTATATATATATATTAATGTTATTAGTTGACAGTTCTGTTGAAAAATTCAGTTTGAATAGGGTCGAAACAAATATTAATACAAAGTATTTTGCACATGCACAACTAGATTAATTCTCACTCATATCTGTCATTGACTCTAGTCTACAGACACTAGATGGCAGTATTGATCAAACAAACAAAGCACTTTCACAAAAGAAACCAACATGTCATTCTTTGCTTTTTTCAGGCTAAGGAGGCCGATCTGCAGAACATAGAGCAGGTCTTGAGCGAAACGTCTTTGAGCGCTTGTAAATACAGACAGTGGCGAGACGCTAATGTGCTCCTGCTGCAAGAGATGGGAGAGAAACACGAGAGTCCCGTGGAGTCGCAGGCCCAGAGACCACTGGTTCAAACTCAGCCCCGGCGCCAGTCGCTCCTCGGCCCGATCACTGCGTCCCCTGCTGTCCCTGTCTACACGGAGACCAGCCTGTGAAGGCGAGGCGCGCGTTATAACCCCCGAAAGACCAACTCTGGTTTCCTGCTGGGCATAACATGCAGCTTCTCTGAAACACTTCAGGCCCGCAAAGGAAGAACGCATAACTACATCATGAAACTGAGAAAAATGATGAATAGTTACTGCGTTTCGCCTTTGTCGTTCAGAATAATTTTATCTGATGTATTAGGCTACTTGTCGTTCAGTGTTTTGATAAAGCATTACAGACATGTTCTCCCGCTTTTATTACAAATGTTTGAATTGAATGGTGTTTTTAATTTGGTTTTATTAATCACTCATGACATTGGTTGTCTGGATGGACTTTGCTTTTTTAATGCAGGCTATATTTATCTCACCAAATTCTGCATTCCAGACAGGACAAACACACTCATACTGTACATGCACATCTCTTGTTCAGCCCTTGTTTGTTACCAAATCACTCCTTTATACACACACACACACACACACACACACACACACACACACACACACACACACAAACTTGTTTGTGCTTGATCTTTTTAAGAGTGCAGTCTTGTTTACCTGTTTTTAACGTGACGGTCTCTTTTAAGATGTACATATTTGAGCATTTTACAACTGTAATGTAATGGATTAAGTATTGTACATTTTTGTATAAATGTCATATGATTTAACTGTATAAATGTTTACTTGGTATTTTATAATTAATTCATGCTCAGGGAGTGCAGAAGGAAATAAAAATGGCTGTTTAATAGTTTCTTTCAAAATTGTGTTTGTGTTTGAAATTGAGAGTGCTCATTATGTACTGGACCCAAAACGTATGCACTGTAAACACTTAAAATCTGTGAAATATGCTTATAGTGTATGTGATGACCTGTGGTTCGTTTTTGAGGGGAACTGACCAGAGGTTTAAAGGGTGCCCGGAAACCATACTTGGGTAAAAGTGCAGAGACCTTACAGCAATTTAAAAGTCACCAATTCCAATGCGACTTGAGTAAAAGTCTAACCCTTGTTTTCAGACAAGGCTTAAAGGAGAACTCCGGCACAAAATGAACCTTTGGTCTAATTACACATTGTTACCTAGTCATCCGTTATCTGAGATTTGTTTTCATGATTATCGAATGTCAAGTTTTATCTCTAAAAACAGTTTAGCCTATAAAGCTAGTATAACGCTAGTATAATGGGCATGGAGTAATGACAAATAAAAATCGCTTGTTAATACCACTAACAAGGCTCAACATAGCCCCACACTAACACGGTAGCATAATGAGGGTCCCTACCTTCAAACCGAAGCATTGAGAACTTTATCAGTGTCCAGACAGTTTAATAAGAAGATTTTTTATACATACAGTCAACTTCGCGTATACAGGCAGAAGCCATCTTTGAAAAACAGTCTCTACCCGTCGATCTACGAACGCCGATCCAAGTGCGCTGGTGAGATGTGAACGAGCTATAAGTTGTGATAAGGTGAGCGCGAACAGCAGGCTTGGATCGGCGTTCGTAGATCGACTGGTAAAGGCTGTATTTCAAAGATGGCTTCTGCCTGTATACGCAAAGTTGACTGTATGTATAAAATATCTTCTTATTAAACTGTCTGGACACTGATAAAGTTCTCAATGCTTCGGTTTGAAGGTAGGGACCCTCATTATGCTACCGTGCTAGTGTGGGGATATGTTGAGCCTTGTTAGTGGTATTAACAAGCGATTTTTATTTGTCATTGATCTATGCCCAATATACTAGCGTTATACTAGCTTTATAGGCTAAACTGTTTTTAGAGATAAAACTATTGACATTCGATAATCATGAAAACAAATCTCAGATAACGATTGACTAGGTAACAATGTGTAATTAGACCAAAGGTTCATTTTGCGCCGGAGTTCTCCTTTAAGCCTAGTCCCAGACTAAAATGTTTTAACTGAAAGCAATTTGCATATCTTAAAATGTCAGTGAAAAATAAGTATGAATGTAAGTGCACTGCTCAGTGTTTGTCTCTTCATTTACTTTCACAATGTCTTAAGCAACTTTTTGAGGTGTGTATATTTTGGTATCTTGGATTTGCGATGGATGGGTAAAAAATTATGGGATTAAAACACAAAAATATATTCATTTGTGATGATTCCGAAGAAAGCCATGGGTTTGGAACAACATTACGATGAGTAAATTATGACAGAATTTTCATTGTTGGTCCCTTTAACATCTTTAATTTAAATAAAAAGAAATGCGAAATGTCTTTCCTGGAATGGCGCTCGGCATGCCATCTGTGAGGGACGAGTATATGAATGTATATACAAACAGAAACTTTTTAAGAAAAGTCCAGCACACCGATCACACTCGGCCATCTGCTGCTGCCAGCTTTTGTCTTCAAACACAAAGAGAGTTAATCCGGCTGCTGTCCTGACACTCATTTACATGAGAATAGTCCGGGCACTTTCAGCTGAAGGCCTGTAGGGAGCACCATAGAGTAAAATGTCTAACTTGACAGATGAATGTCCTTATGCTTCTAAATTTGGCGATATTATGCACTGAAACAATGGCTGCGTCTCAAAAACAAAAAGCTTAGACAGCCGACTTGTTGCCTCGCTGCCCTATCAGGCAATGACTTTAAAGGCAGCGTTTACGCACGAAGGTACCTCACTAAACTGATGTTACAACAAAACAGAGAGAGCTTTGGTGATAAATAAGCAAATATCAGATGAAGGTATCTCAGTACTTGACGGGTAATGGTAAAGTACATAATTTTGGATACATAGTTACGTAGTATGTCATTACTGTAACATGCTAAATTATGTTTTGATACCACACACCCCTTTTGTTATGTAGCGAGGAGGACACTAGTTTTGTCTGCGTGTAAATGTTAGCATTTGGCTAATAAATCCCTTATTTTCTTAACTTTCAAGTCTGTACATTTACAAACGGCTGTGAAAGCGTTTGACCTCAAATTCAAAGTCTAACACAAACATTTTGGCTTTTGTTTTGGGTAATATTGGCCCAAACCGAGCCCGCCCACTTTGTCAGCAACCGTTGCGGGAGTATTTTTTCCCCTTATTTTTTTCCCATACAGATTTTACAAAAAGTCTTGAAAAATGTATAAACTATGAACCAAAATCAGCAGGAGGTGAATCATAACATTTCCACAACTTTTATTTGAAGCAAATATGTATTTGAAAATCAAGACAAACGGACTGTGTTTATGATTATGCCCTTTTACGAAGTCTTGATAGTTAAAAAAAAACAACATTCTTTTCATTTGACATTATTACAGCTCCTATCTCCCTAGTCTGGTTGAACGCGCCGTTTTCATTGAAGCCACTCCTTCCGAAATACGAAATGTTAATGGCCCAGTGTGTTGTGATTGGCAGCGCTCAGCGTGTGCTCGGGAAAAGTCCCGCCCCTTCATAACCTTGAGCTCTTCTCAGATGTAAATATTAACAATGGAGTTTTAATTTTTGGCAATTAAATTGGCAATTTTAAACCATTTCGAGCTCGATTCAGACCCTGACAATGTTAACAAGAGGATTGTGCAGAACAGATTTCAAGCACGGATTTCACAGGATGTTTCAGAGTGGTATGGATTTTTTGTAATTCTCTGGAGCATTGTAACAAAAATGCATTTTATGCAAACAAATATTAAAAAAGTGTAGGGAAACAGACTCAATGGCTGCATCCGATCAATGCAACCTTCATCTGATCAATGTTTGAAGGGAGCATAGATGTATCCTTCGCTATCCCACAATCCTATGCTTTCCATTCTGTGACAGTTGAGCAAAAAAATAAATAAACTTGGCATCTGAAGGTTGCAGTTGGTGGTCAGTTTATGTAAATGTACATTTTTAATGAACGTTTTCCACTTTTGGCGCCATTTCTACCGAGAAATTACTATTCTAGTAATTATTTGCTTAGTTATCACCAAAGCTCGATCGCAAATGCTGCCTACAAAGTCATTGCCTGACAGGGCAGCGAGGTAACAAGTCAAGTCAACTTTTCAGACGCAGCCTATGTCTTATGACGCAATTTTCTGATTGGTGGAGATTCTCTGTACAATCATGGATAATGTAGTTTTTCAACAGGAATTCCACTATTGAACACAGTTATAGAATAAGTTGAAATAATGCAAGCTGATGGCTTTAACAAAAGAATATGCCAACAATTTACAGCCTCGTAGCTCACAGTATACACTCACCTAAAGGATTATTAGGAACACCTGTTCAATTTCTCATTAATGCAATTATCTAATCAACCAATCACATGGCAGTTGCTTCAATGCATTTAGGGGTGTGGTCCTGGTCAAGACAATCTCCTGAATTCCAAACTGAATGTCAGAATGGGAAAGAAAGGTGATTTAAGCAATTTTGAGCGTGGCACGGTTGTTGGTGCCAGACAGGCTGGTCTGAGTATTTCACAATCTGCTCAGTTACTGGGATTTTCACGCACAACCATTTCTAGGGTTTACAAAGAATGGTGTGAAAAGGGAAAAACATCCAGTATGCGGCAGTCCTGTGGGCGAAAATGCCTTGTTGATGCTAGAGGTCAGAGGAGAATGGGCCGACTGATTCAAGCTGATAGAAGAGCAAATTTGACTGAAATAACCTCTCGTCACAACCGAGGTATGCAGCAAAGCATTTGTGAAGCCACAACACGCACAACCTTGAGGCGGATGGGCTACAACAGCAGAAGACCCCACCGGGTACCACTCATCTCCACTACAAATAGGAAAAAGAGGCTACAATTTGCAAGAGCTCACCAAAGTTGGACAGTTGAAGACTGGAAAAATGTTGCCTGGTCTGATGAGTCTCGATTTCTGTTGAGACATTCAGATGGTAGAGTCAGAATTTGGCGTAAACAGAATGAGAACATGGATCCATCATGCCTTGTTACCACTGTGCAGGCTGGTGGTGGTGGTGTAATGGTGTGGGGGATGTTTTCTTGGCACACTTTAGGCCCCTTAGTGCCAATTGGGCATCGTTTAAATGCCACGGCCTACCTGAGCATTGTTTCTGACCATGTCCATCCCTTTATGGCCACCATGTACCCATCCTCTGATGGCTACTTCCAGCAGGATAATGCACCATGTCACAAAGCTCGAATCATTTCAAATTGG